GTGGCGTATATAACATCATAGCTTTTCCTCACAGGTAAGTGTTTGTTCAGTGGCGTATATAACATCATAGCTTTTCCTCACAGGTAAGTGTTTGTTCAGTGGCGTATATAACATCATAGCTTTTCCTCACAGGTAAGTGTTTGTTCAGTGGCGTATATAACATCATAGCTTTTCCTCACATGTAAGTGTTTGTTCAGTGGCGTATATAACATCATAGCTTTTCCTCACAGGTAAGTGTTTGTTCAGTGGCGTATATAACATCATAGCTTTTCCTCACATGTAAGTGTTTGTTCAGTGGCGTATATAACATCATAGCTTTTCCTCACATGTAAGTGTTTGTTCAGTGGCGTATATAACATCATAGCTTTTCCTCACATGTAAGTGTTTGTTCAGTGGCGTATATAACATCATAGCTTTTCCTCACATGTAAGTGTTTGTTCAGTGGCGTATATAACATCATAGCTTTTCCTCACATGTAAGTGTTTGTTCAGTGGCGTATATAACATCATAGCTTTTCCTCACATGTAAGTGTTTGTTCAGTGGCGTATATAACATCATAGCTTTTCCTCACATGTAAGTGTTTGTTCAGTGGCGTATATAACATCATAGCTTTTCCTCACATGTAAGTGTTTGTTCAGTGGCGTATATAACATCATAGCTTTTCCTCACATGTAAGTGTTTGTTCAGTGGCGTATATAACATCATAGCTTTTCCTCACATGTAAGTGTTTGTTCAGTGGCGTATATAACATCATAGCTTTTCCTCACATGTAAGTGTTTGTTCAGTGGCGTATATAACATCATAGCTTTTCCTCACATGTAAGTGTTTGTTCAGTGGCGTATATAACATCATAGCTTTTCCTCACATGTAAGTGTTTGTTCAGTGGCGTATATAACATCATAGCTTTTCCTCACATGTAAGTGTTTGTTCAGTGGCGTATATAACATCATAGCTTTTCCTCACATGTAAGTGTTTGTTCAGTGGCGTATATAACATCATAGCTTTTCCTCACATGTAAGTGTTTGTTCAGTGGCGTATATAACATCATAGCTTTTCCTCACATGTAAGTGTTTGTTCAGTGGCGTATATAACATCATAGCTTTTCCTCACATGTAAGTGTTTGTTCAGTGGCGTATATAACATCATAGCTTTTCCTCACATGTAAGTGTTTGTTCAGTGGCGTATATAACATCATAGCTTTTCCTCACATGTAAGTGTTTGTTCAGTGGCGTATATAACATCATAGCTTTTCCTCACATGTAAGTGTTTGTTCAGTGGCGTATATAACATCATAGCTTTTCCTCACATGTAAGTGTTTGTTCAGTGGCGTATATAACATCATAGCTTTTCCTCACATGTAAGTGTTTGTTCAGTGGCGTATATAACATCATAGCTTTTCCTCACATGTAAGTGTTTGTTCAGTGGCGTATATAACATCATAGCTTTTCCTCACATGTAAGTGTTTGTTCAGTGGCGTATATAACATCATAGCTTTTCCTCACATGTAAGTGTTTGTTCAGTGGCGTATATAACATCATAGCTTTTCCTCACATGTAAGTGTTTGTTCAGTGGCGTATATAACATCATAGCTTTTCCTCACATGTAAGTGTTTGTTCAGTGGCGTATATAACATCATAGCTTTTCCTCACATGTAAGTGTTTGTTCAGTGGCGTATATAACATCATAGCTTTTCCTCACATGTAAGTGTTTGTTCAGTGGCGTATATAACATCATAGCTTTTCCTCACATGTAAGTGTTTGTTCAGTGGCGTATATAACATCATAGCTTTTCCTCACATGTAAGTGTTTGTTCAGTGGCGTATATAACATCATAGCTTTTCCTCACATGTAAGTGTTTGTTCAGTGGCGTATATAACATCATAGCTTTTCCTCACATGTAAGTGTTTGTTCAGTGGCGTATATAACATCATAGCTTTTCCTCACATGTAAGTGTTTGTTCAGTGGCGTATATAACATCATAGCTTTTCCTCACATGTAAGTGTTTGTTCAGTGGCGTATATAACATCATAGCTTTTCCTCACATGTAAGTGTTTGTTCAGTGGCGTATATAACATCATAGCTTTTCCTCACATGTAAGTGTTTGTTCAGTGGCGTATATAACATCATAGCTTTTCCTCACATGTAAGTGTTTGTTCAGTGGCGTATATAACATCATAGCTTTTCCTCACATGTAAGTGTTTGTTCAGTGGCGTATATAACATCATAGCTTTTCCTCACATGTAAGTGTTTGTTCAGTGGCGTATATAACATCATAGCTTTTCCTCACATGTAAGTGTTTGTTCAGTGGCGTATATAACATCATAGCTTTTCCTCACATGTAAGTGTTTGTTCAGTGGCGTATATAACATCATAGCTTTTCCTCACATGTAAGTGTTTGTTCAGTGGCGTATATAACATCATAGCTTTTCCTCACATGTAAGTGTTTGTTCAGTGGCGTATATAACATCATAGCTTTTCCTCACATGTAAGTGTTTGTTCAGTGGCGTATATAACATCATAGCTTTTCCTCACATGTAAGTGTTTGTTCAGTGGCGTATATAACATCATAGCTTTTCCTCACATGTAAGTGTTTGTTCAGTGGCGTATATAACATCATAGCTTTTCCTCACATGTAAGTGTTTGTTCAGTGGCGTATATAACATCATAGCTTTTCCTCACATGTAAGTGTTTGTTCAGTGGCGTATATAACATCATAGCTTTTCCTCACATGTAAGTGTTTGTTCAGTGGCGTATATAACATCATAGCTTTTCCTCACATGTAAGTGTTTGTTCAGTGGCGTATATAACATCATAGCTTTTCCTCACATGTAAGTGTTTGTTCAGTGGCGTATATAACATCATAGCTTTTCCTCACATGTAAGTGTTTGTTCAGTGGCGTATATAACATCATAGCTTTTCCTCACATGTAAGTGTTTGTTCAGTGGCGTATATAACATCATAGCTTTTCCTCACATGTAAGTGTTTGTTCAGTGGCGTATATAACATCATAGCTTTTCCTCACATGTAAGTGTTTGTTCAGTGGCGTATATAACATCATAGCTTTTCCTCACATGTAAGTGTTTGTTCAGTGGCGTATATAACATCATAGCTTTTCCTCACATGTAAGTGTTTGTTCAGTGGCGTATATAACATCATAGCTTTTCCTCACATGTAAGTGTTTGTTCAGTGGCGTATATAACATCATAGCTTTTCCTCACATGTAAGTGTTTGTTCAGTGGCGTATATAACATCATAGCTTTTCCTCACATGTAAGTGTTTGTTCAGTGGCGTATATAACATCATAGCTTTTCCTCACATGTAAGTGTTTGTTCAGTGGCGTATATAACATCATAGCTTTTCCTCACATGTAAGTGTTTGTTCAGTGGCGTATATAACATCATAGCTTTTCCTCACATGTAAGTGTTTGTTCAGTGGCGTATATAACATCATAGCTTTTCCTCACATGTAAGTGTTTGTTCAGTGGCGTATATAACATCATAGCTTTTCCTCACATGTAAGTGTTTGTTCAGTGGCGTATATAACATCATAGCTTTTCCTCACATGTAAGTGTTTGTTCAGTGGCGTATATAACATCATAGCTTTTCCTCACATGTAAGTGTTTGTTCAGTGGCGTATATAACATCATAGCTTTTCCTCACATGTAAGTGTTTGTTCAGTGGCGTATATAACATCATAGCTTTTCCTCACATGTAAGTGTTTGTTCAGTGGCGTATATAACATCATAGCTTTTCCTCACATGTAAGTGTTTGTTCAGTGGCGTATATAACATCATAGCTTTTCCTCACATGTAAGTGTTTGTTCAGTGGCGTATATAACATCATAGCTTTTCCTCACATGTAAGTGTTTGTTCAGTGGCGTATATAACATCATAGCTTTTCCTCACATGTAAGTGTTTGTTCAGTGGCGTATATAACATCATAGCTTTTCCTCACATGTAAGTGTTTGTTCAGTGGCGTATATAACATCATAGCTTTTCCTCACATGTAAGTGTTTGTTCAGTGGCGTATATAACATCATAGCTTTTCCTCACAGGTAAGTATTGGTTCAGTGGCGTATATAACATTATAGCTTTTCCTCACAGCTAAGTGTTTGTTCAGTGGCATATATAACATCATAGCTTTTCCTCACAGCTAAGTGTTTGTTCACTGGCGTGCCATCATTCCTCGGAACTAGTTAGGTTACATAACCTCTCTTCAAAAACACAGAAACCATTCATGCTCTTATTGTGACTGCTTACTTTCCAAAAATATGTAAATACTTTTCAGCCATACATTCATATATATATATATAATTCTTCGGATGAAATTGTGAAAATGATAGGTCTTGGCTGACAAAATTTGTGTCAAGTTCCAGCAGACTGTTAGCATTCTTATGGTTACAAACTCTTCTGGCCGACTTGTTTTCACATGAAGCTGAATTCATTGAATAGCATCTATCAAAACCATGCGAAGACCTTTAATTTACGTTCAGATATATTGATGATGTGCTGTCTTTGAACAACAAGACATTCATTGACAACATCGGTCGTATATATCCTCCCAAATTGGAAGTTAAGGGCACTATAAGTTCTTCTACATCAGCCACTAACATTGAGGAACATGGACGACTTACTGCTAAGCATGACAATTTTTATTTTCCCATCGTGATCTTTTCCCTTTCTTGACAGTAACATCCCCGTTTCCAAACCAACAGTGTTTTATGTCACAATTGATTTATGGATTCAGTATTTAACAGTTTGCTCCAAATATCCAATTCTGTGACGGATACCAACTACTGACGGACAAACTTACAATACTTGATTCACTACCCAGGAATAGATATGTCATGTTGTATATAGTGAGAGCTTTACTCTTATGAGTCTCTGCATGAACAGATAATTGTTTTAATTTCATAATCCTTTCAGTGTTCGATACAGGGATTGAATACCCTATGGGACTAACTAATAACTGGAAGTAAGAAATGACAAAAAAAACCACAAAATATTGTAAATAATTTATTAATTTCCTCTCCGTTTGATAAACAGAGCATTTACATGTATAAATATCCCTTACTTACAAAATACTGTACAATAACTTACATAATATACAATTGTTCCCTGTACGTGTAGAATTCTAAAATAAATACTTTTCTCAAAAAAATCGTAATGTAAAATATATAGTGCACTGGTGAAATGTCAGTACATAATTAGCTAACCCACTTTACTATATACGCTTAGCTGTAGCAGACTGGCCTCATTGGATGTTGTTGCCATCTAGAAGATCAAGTAATATAAAGGGTATACCGGTATATATATCTATAATACAATCAGATGCCAGCATTTTTGTGTATATTTGGTGTAACAACCCTGTGGAAATCAACATTGAATGTGACATTCATGTTACTTTACAACACATTTAGAGTCCAATACAAACACTATTTAAGTGATCCTATATGGATAAGGGACTTCAAAGAAATAATAAGATAATAAATTAAGACATCGATAGTGTTATATTTCTACAAAATGCAGGTAGAAATTTTGATCTCCTAAAACCTACAATTACAATGATTTTGTAATTAAGCTCATTGTAGAACCGTAATATTTAAATGAAAAAAAAAAAATGAAAAAAAATCAAAGCACTGAAAATTATACACTCATCGTCAAACAATAATATTATTCACAAACTTTCAATTTGTTTCAGTCATGTCTTACCTAGATAAAAAGGATTTCTAAAAACAAACAAAATGTTCGAAATACTTACACCATAAACAACACGACCCAACCCCCACAATAACTTCTCTGTAATGATGAAATTGTTGTTATTGGTAAAAATAAGACAGTAAATAGCCTTCCGCTTCAGTATTTCAGCAATAAATATAATCAAATACTATATTAAAGATATGGACGGGTATTTTGTAAAGTATCGTTAAAGACTCCTAAGTCAGATTTCGTTTTTTATAAAATCACAATTAATGAATAATATCACAGCAATAATTAGTTATCTGTGCACTAAATGTTTTGAGATAACAAGATGAAAAAAAAAATATACTGTCTTAAATACACAGAATCAATTTAATGACTCTAAAACTTAACATATTGGGATTTTTTTTAAATACAAGTACTTCTCGCTATCTAGAGTCTATATAATATCACAGATCTGCGTGGCTGGCACATAATGACAAACTACAAAGATAAAACAACTTAGTGTCCAAAGATATGACCACAAAGGCCGTTAAAAAAAATACCTTGAAAATTTGCTGTTTAAAATGAAATAAAGTTGAGCAATTATTCTATTTTATTTTCATCAATTGCCCCGCTTATTCCTGCTTAATCAGCACTTTAACCCTCAAATGATAATATCAAAAGCACATCAAACACCCTGTTTTAAGACCCTATGTTGTTGGAAATAATGACATTCTTCATGATAACATGATGCTTCAGTATAATCTAATTGTTTCTGACAGGAATCAGATCATTCAAGTTTTTGCATATTTTTATTTATCTTCTGAAAAAGAGAAAAGAAGAGAAAACTCGGATTACATGATTTGTTCTAATTGGCCGTATGTCTGATGTTTTCAATGTATATTGCTGACAGTCCAATGTTTTCCAATGAATTGCTGGTCTCAACATGATTTTGTTATTTAATGAGAATTGAAGGATGATAGTCCTTGATGTCATTTAAAATGTTACTACTATTCTAATCTTCTAATATTTCAGCACCAGTCTACTTGGGGAGCATCTTCCAATCCTTTTGTTTCCTAGGTTCTCTCTCACTTTGACTACGCTGTTAAAACTGTAAAAAGAATGAAAAACAATATCATAGGTCAGAAAGTTTTAAACCAATAATATCAATACAGTGGTTTAAAGAGCAAATCCATATTTTCTTTACAGCATTGTTAAATTATCTTGCTTAGTATCAAAGTGACTAGATTATAAGGTTCAACATGTAATAAATAATCATAACAAGAGGCCCAATGGGCCTGAATCGCTCACCTGGTGTTAATCTCACACTTGTAATCTTAAATGTTGACTAAAATACAGCTACAGGCAGAATATCAGTGTTTTAATCATAGAAACCTATTAAAAGATTTAAACATATGACCTTGAATGTCGAACAAGGACATTAGATTGAACAGAGTTTATAGTCTTCCAACCCAGCATGCTTCTGGGAAAATATCAGTACCCTGGACATTTTGGTGATACAGAACAAGTCATTTAAAGATTTAAATATATATTGACTACTGTGACCTTGAATATGGGCGAAGGTCCTTCGTTTCAACAAACTTGGTAGTCCTTCATCCCAGCATGTTACTGGCCAAATATCATGCTCCTAGGCCTCTTGGTTATTGAGAAGAAGTCGTTTGAAGATTTGAAGACAGTTGACCCCTGTGACCTTGAAAGTGGGTCAAGGTCATTCATTTAAACAAACTTGGTAGCCCTTCATCCAAGCATGCTATACAGGCCCAATATCAGTACCCTGGGCCTTTTGGTTATTGAGAATAAGTCGTTTGAAGATTTTAACACATTTGACCCCTGTGACCTTTAAAGTGGGTCAAGGTCATTCACTTGAACATACTTGGTAGTCCTTCATTGCAGCATGTAATTGGCCAAATGTCATGCTCCTAGGCCTCTTGACCATATTGAGGAGAAATTGTTTGAAGATTTGAAGAAAGTTGACCCCTGTGACCTTGAAAGTGAGTCAAGGTCATTCATTTGAACAAACTTGGTAGCCTTTCATCCAAGCATGCTATACAGGCCCAATATCTGTACCCTTTTGGTTATTGAGAAGTTGTGTGAAGATTTTAAGACATTTGACCCATGTGACCTTGACAGTGGGTCAATGTCATTCATTTGAACAAATTTGGTTGCCCTTCATACCAGCATGCTACAGGCCCAATATCAGTACCCTGGGCCTTTTTGTTATTGAGAATAAGTCGTTTGAAGATTTTAACACATTTTACCCCTGTGACCTTTAAAGTTGGTCATGGTCATTCATTTGAACAAACTTGGTAGCCCTTCATCCCAGCATGTTACTGGCCAAATACCATGCTCCTAGGCCTCTTGGTTATTGAGAAGTTGTTTGAAGATTTGAAGAAAGTTGACCCCTGTGACCTTGAAAGTGGGTCAAGTTCATTCATTTGAACAAACTTGGTAGCCCTTCATCCCAGCATGTTACTGGCCAAATACCATGCTCCTAGGCCTCTTGGTTATTGATAAGTTGTTTGAAGATTTGAAGAAAGTTGACCCCTGTGACCTTGAAAGTGGGTCAAGTTCATTCATTTGAACAAACTTGATAGTCCTTCATTCCAGCATGTTACTGGCCTAATATCATGCTCCTAGGCCTCTTAGTTATTGAGAAGTTGTTTGAAGATTTGAAGAAAGTTGACCCCTGTGTCCTTGAAAGTGGTTCAAGGTCATTTATTTGAACAAACTTGATAGCCCTTCATCCAAGCATGCTATACAGGCCCAATATCAGTACCCTTTTGGTTATTGAGAAGTTGTTTGAAGATTTTAAGACATTTGACCCCTGTGACCTTGAAAGGGGGTCAAGGTCATTCATTTAAGCAACTTGGTAGCCCTTCACCCCAGCATGCTACAGGCCCAATATCAGAACCCTGGGACCTTTTGGTTATTGAGAATAAGTCGTTTGAAGATTTTAACACATTTGACCCCTGTGACCTTTAAAGTGGGTCAGGGTCATTCATTTGAACAAAACTTGATAGTCCTTCATTCCAGCATGTTACTAGCCAAATATCATGCTCCTAGGCCTCTTGGTTATTGAGAAGTTGTTTGAAGATTTGAAGAAAGTTGTCCCATGTGACCTTGAAAGTGGGTCAAGGTCATTCATTTGATCAAACTTGATAGCCCTTCATCCAAGCATGCTATACAGGCCCAATATCAGTACCCTTTTGGTTAATGAGAAGTTGTTTGAAGATTTTAAGACATTTGACCCCTGTGACCTTAAAAGTGGGTCAAGGACATTCATTTGAGCCAACTTGGTAGCCCTTCACCCCAGCATGCTACAGGCCCAATATCAAAACCCTGGGACCTTTTGGTTATTGAGAAGTCCTTTGAAGATTTTAAGACATTTGACCCCTGTGACCTTGAAAGCGGGTCAATGTCATTCATTTGAATAAACTTGGTAGCCCTTCATCCCAGCATGCTATAGGCCCAATATCAGTACCCTGGGACCTTTTGGTTATTGAGAAGAAGTCCTTTGAAGAGTTTAAGACATTTGACTCCTGTGACCTTGAAAGCAGGTCAAGGTCATTCATTTGAGCAAACTTGGTAGCCCTTCATCCCAGCATGCTACTGGCCCAATATCAGTACCCTGGGACCTCTTGGTTGTTGAGAAGAAGTACGGACGGATTGGTCGAGTGATTAACACTCCGGCCTTCCAAGCAGGCAGCCGGGGTTCGATCCCCGAAGTCGCCGTACGCATGGAATATTAGAGAAAGTGTCTTTCTCCTGCCCACACAACTCCAACAACCCAGGTGGAGTATAAAATGGTCTGGGGTGGGTGTTGCGGTATCTGTGCTGTAGCATTCAAGTGAGGTGGCACTATAAATGATACCGTTGGAAGCACGGTCCCACTACAAACAGAACACAATACATCTCCAGCACACACACAGACATACACACATATGGAGATATTAGCCAGGTGGCATAGGACTAGTAGTTAGCGCCTGATAAGGCAGCTCCTGCGAATTCCTCAATATTGTATTGATTAATATATATATGCTTATTGTATTGACTGTATAACATTGTATATCTATCTACTGTAAAGCGCTTTAGAGTGGCTTATGTTAGCTAGATAGGGCGCTATATCAAATGTTGTATATCATTATTATTATTAATGGAAAAGTTGATGACGGACGGACAACGAACGCAGCACCACAGCATAAGCTCACTTGCCTTTCGGGCAGGTGAGCTAAAAATCATAAATCAATCAAGTCTTACATTCTCTCTCGGCAAATGCTGGGCTTAGTGAGCGTTCTTCTGACCGTGACCGCGACCTTGGTCGCTGGGCTAGGTAGCCTCGTCGTGAAAAATTTGGACTGGGTGAACGATCCTACAAGAGGAAACAAATCAATGATATTAAAATTAATGTTTTAACCTAACATTATATGTATAAATTAGTGTGCAAATCTATTTACTACTCAACTGTAACCATACATTGCACTATGTGCAGTAATATCTGCTTAGAAAACGTAATTGTATCTTGTTTTTCCATCATTTATCTTTCGAGTATAATCATTTGATTTAATTGACGATGAAAAGAAGAGAAATACAAAAAGGTCACGGTTTAATGGAACCCTGGGAGACCAATGGGCTGTCAGTTTAGAAACATTTATCATCAGAATTTTACAATGATGAGACAATTCTTTGCCAACAGACACACACGTAACTATTGTTAGAAAGGATTCGCAAAAAGGATGCTCCCAGTAAAGCTTTCATACAGAAATACAAAGGGATAACCATATTTACCTTTCGGAACTTTGTGTCCAGCACTGACTGACCAGGGGAACTTGACCTTGCTCGACTGTGCTGTCTGTACGATTTAAAACTGGATTCTCCGGTGTTCACCAACACCTGTGTAGGTAGATAAGTCAATTCAATGTTAAAATTGCAATGGGGGGAGGGGGGCACCATACACAGGAATTAAAGGTAATTTACCATTTATTAAATAAAATTGTGAAGATTAGAAAATCTTTCCAAATTATTATAAAATGAAAGCAAATCTGGATTGAGTTGTGCTAATATTCTACATAATATAAAATTGGGTGACAGTATCATCACTTTCGTGATGACTAGTGGCAGATCAGTTGCTGTAACTTCATTCTCTGATAAAGCTTGAGGCTGGAAATAATTCTTTTGGTGGACACAAATGGTTTATAGTTACGAACCTCCTGGAGTGTGTTGAGTTTCGTGCGGAGACTTTCTATGGTTCCCTCGGACTGTAGACGTGCAGACTCCATGTTGTCAGCGTGGCGCTGCATCTGGTCCTGTAGCTGGTGCTATACAAGAACAAGAGAGAACCTCAGAAATGATCAACATTGGGGGGCACTTGTACTTCCTGGTAGTGTATCCTCAAAAACAGTCACTGTAAATTTCTGATTTTGAAAATGATAAGATCAAGAGATTCCTCTCAATAGTACTAACAGGTACAATGAATCTCCTCGTGCCTCTCTTTTTTAATCCCCTAGTGCTTCATACTGTAAATTTTAATTTTGAAAATTTATTTGACCAGAGATAGGCACTTAAAATCCTGTAAAATGAGGGAAAAACCACAAGCACATGTCACATGCTATTCTTTAAAATGCACTCTTATTAAGGAGGGCAAAAGACAAAAACTAAACTGTGCCAAATGTTTCCTAATTATACAATATTGCCGACCCTCATCTGCAAACCTTTTAAAATTTAGATGTGCCTGTAAAATTCTGGGTATGGGTTCGAGGCTAGTAAACATGGGTTACTATACTAGCATGCCTACATGTGTTAGATATCAGGCATGAATTCTCACGGCAGCTTTTCAAATTTACTCACCCGTAGATAATCTTGTTCCTGAGTGAGCTTCTCTCGTAAGTCTTCCTTCCTGTTATCATCTTCTAAGGCGTCAATAACGTTTTCTTTGTTCTCCATCATCAACTGAAAATAAAAACGTTAACAATTGACGTTTTGACCTCGACAGCAGTCTGTGTAATCTTCAAGATTTAATTTACAGAAGATTCTCAATATTATCGTCAGTAGAAATTCAACTTAATAAAGCATGGTGAAAAGGTACAATGTTTAAGTATTTGCAATTTATCAATTTAATGATAATATTTTTTATGTTTTTTAAGATAAAATGGTGCATATTCATAAAAGCGATTATAAAATCAGATCTACTAAAGTAAATTTAGTTTAAGGCATTAGGTGCTGAATCTATAAGCTCTTGATTGAAAATCCGAAAATAAAGCTACTTTGGCCAAAGCTCATTATAAGTATATATTTCCTGGAAAAAAAAATTGTTCTTGAAAACTAGAATATTTACTTCACAGTCCATTTTTTATGAAGTTAATTAAGAGTTTGTTTCAAGAAAGATTAAAGATAAATGAACATTACAGGCACATACATATATTTACTAAGAAATACACAGATTTATTAATTAGATAATGGTTACTTTCCACATTTGTTAGTACAACATGCACGTGCAGCTTTAGTGGACTTCCTGCTGCCAAAAGACAGCACCATTAACATGTGTCCATGCTGTGTTAGTTAGCCTTATTAATGTCAACTAAACCATGTTCCCTTTTGTAACAGAAAGAACCTATTGAAAGTTTTACCATACAGAATGTGAAACCAAGGTATACATTTCAGAATGTAATGTAAGAAGGATTTTGTCTATGAAATGAATGTCATCACGACATCGTGAAAACAGTACATGAAACACAAGTGGCCTATGGTGATATGTGAAACTGAACGGAAGGAGGGTTTTTGTTGGTTTTTGAATTTGAAAATATTTTCTCTCACAGTGAAAATGGAATCTATTGTATTTCATGTAAAACTTGAAAGAAAGTAGGGGATGGGTTTATTACGGGACAAAGAATTTTGTAGCATGTGTTGTCGTGTTTTCTAAACTGTAATGACTATATAGATAGGTTTATTATCAGGAAATGACTTATTTCAATGTAAATGTGGTACCACACTAACCACATTAATTCAATAATATTTTATATTACACACTTCAACACACAATATAATGTATATATATGTTAGATATTACACTGAAGCAAATGTGCTTCTTTATTCACTTCAATGATTTATACAATAAGGACTTCAACAATGCCCTAAGTACATGTACCTTCTATTTTGCATATGTCCTTCAATCAGGAAATGGATTCCCTAATTTAACATGTTACCCTAATTTCATGTGTATATCAATCACACTTAGCTTTGGAAATCTCACAGGTGATAATGCCTGTATGATCATGTAAAATGATATATGTTACTCAGAGTATGTTAAAGTTGAATGAGTATAGATGTTTATGGTTTGTTGAGCAGTGCTAGAGGCTGATAAAATATTTACCATCATATACCAATGCCAATATATAACCCTACATATTCACATATCATTCATATCAGCCATGAATGCCATAGCCTAAATGTTGATGCCATCATTACTGTGATGGTAACACTTGTAATGTTACATCAGGCAAACTTACACGTTCTACAGTGTATTTATTTAACAAGTCTACAAGATTCATACATTTAATTTAAATTTCAATTCTTTTTAACGTTTAATTATTCAATAAAATGATGAATATTACATGTAATAAGGAATTGCTTTCAGTTGGCATTCACAGTGAACTGTGATTATCACTGCCAACTGAACACAGTTCAAGTATTTCTGAAGTAGAACTTGGTCCCAATGTGTTTTCTAATGGACTGGTATGGATTTCCATACTTGACTCCATGTGATTAACTAAATGCATAAAATCTACCATTGGTACATGTTTAATAATACACTGACAAACAAGAAGAACTTCATCAATGACTTCCAATGTCGTCATCTGCCATCGGAAAGAAACCACAATTCAAAGAAACGGAATGTTGACAAAACACAAAATAATTATACTCTATTGAGAAACTTTTACTTCCCAAAGATATTTTTGTATATTTGTTTTCCAGTAAATTGCCTACAGTCAAACATGAAGTTCTCCTTCAACCATAAAATACAACTATGGTTATAATTTATCAAAGTTTATCTATGTGCAACTAATAAGCAGTGCTGACTACATAATGTACAGGTGTCTGAGATACATGGTATATATAGTGGCTAAACTGAAGCTCTAATAGTGGCTAACAGAGACAGATCTAAACCTCAGATGTTTTGGGAAGGTTCTCCTTGAGGGAATCGAGGTGGCGTTCTAATTTTTCACTCTGATCATGGTCCACTACATGCTTCTCATCTGCATAAGACTTCCCATTCTGACAAGAGTTTTCAGGACCTTGCTAAAAGGTCAATGAAGGCAAAGAAAAATGTGAAGATGAAGAAGAGGAAACAGAAAAATACTGCTGCATGAATATATATTTGTGTACATAAATGATAATACAAAATTAATGTGCTTTCTGAGAATGATAAATATCATAAGTGGATGAAAACATTCAATAGGTACATTCTGTCCACAACTAAAACACAAACACTTGGACAGATTGAATACAGTAGTAAAGTGAACATGATTGGCAGTATTATTGTATTCACTGTGATAAGCCAATAAGCAGAATCCGTTAAAAACGAGCAGAATAGGTATGTATCCCACATGATTCTTCACATGGTTTTACTCGGAGATATGACCCTCAGCTGTAAGATCTGATTGAAGGGGTGGGCTTATTACAGGTAACATATGGAACTCAATCCAGAACAAGTGTTTGTATCACAGCTGTAAAACCTGAGTATTGTAACATCCTGTCTAATCCAACATAATGATGAAATCGAAAAAACAACACCTGTCTCATCTGACACCCTATTGGTCACAACACATGGGTCAGATTATACAAGATGTCAGAATGTACAGAACATGGTAGTAGAAACGATAATGCTGCACAGGAATCGTTCAAGTTGAATTAGAAAGGTTGTCGGAATACTCAGGTGTCGTTGGAGACAGACTTCCCTGTAGTAAATCTTCGTTGGATGACTCTAATGTGACTACATGATACAAACTTGGAAACAAGTAACAATAGAGATTTGTTATGTAACAAAGATAGCACTTGCCAATTTCCTACACTGTTTATAATACTTCGAGTACATTAGATCTACCTATGTCAGCTATTCTAATTATACTATTCAATCCATGAAAATAGAAGCTTAAACATTTATGATGTTTTACAGGTGCACCAAATATTCTTAACACTTAACATGCTCATGTAGTTAACTCATTCACCCCTGAACTTTCATAATGAACTGTTCCAACCTTTGAATTGGAAGAGTTCAAATGTGTCTTCAGGGGTGAATGAGTTAATATGACTAATCAGGAAAGTTATCCCAGCTAAATGGTTATAACAAATGAAAAACAATCTAAGAAATATCCTGTAATATCACATGTCATAAAATACGAAAGCTTTGGTGATATACTACTGAATCAATTCCCCTGTTTAACGAAGCTCCCAGTCCCAGATTGTGAATTCCTTGTCAACTAACACTTTTAGACAAATTATATTAAAATCTCCTTCTGGGATCACAACAACCGAATAATGTTTTCTACTTGAAATATACCAGACACTGAATTGGTACTCCGGTTTCCTCCCACATTAAGACCCTCCGTGCTAACATCCTTGTGATAACTATAAGTTGAGTTAAGTTAACTTGCCTCATATATATATATATATATATATATATTATCATGAATATCTTAGTGAAATGTACTACATGTACTTTGTAAAATATTTCTATTTAATTCCTAAGTTAGTTTGAAATGATAGTGAAGTTTGAGATAGGTTAAACAAATCAATATTGAGTACTAGGAGAAAGGATCTAAATATTATACATGTATTTAGTTTTAGTAATTGTTAAATGAATTTCATATATATAAAATGATTGATTATTTGCCATATATATTTATATATATATCCACATTTGATTACAAAAAGATATTAAGATAATTAGTGAAGGGTTGGCTATCGTCTGCTCTAGAGCTGTACAGTCCTATACAAGAGTGTTTCCAGAGTTAACTCATTCTCACCTGAAATTTTAAAATGAACTGACCAAACCTTTGAATTGGAAGAGTTCAAATGTGTCTTCAGGGGGTGAATTAGTTAAGGTCAAGGGTCCTTAAAACAGCTTTATGTCAAAATACTGATACATTCTATTACAAACTTTATTCAGAGTAACTATTTTGTATCTATGGGTTAATTACCATTTCAGAGTGAATATTTTGTATCTATGGGGCAATTATCATTTCAGAGTAAATATTTTGCATCTATGGGGCAATTATCATTTCAGAGTAAATATTTTGCATCTATGGGGCAATTACCATTTCAGAGTGAATATTTTGTATCTATGGGGCAATTATCATTTCAGAGCAAATATTTTGTATCTATGGGGCAATTATCATTTCAGAGTAAATATTTTGTATCTATGGGTCAATTATCATTTCAGAGTAACTATTTTGTATCTATGGGTCAATTATCATTTCAGAGTAAATATTTTGTATCTATGGGGAAATTACCATTTCAGAGTATATATTTTGTCAGTAATAAGGCAGTGTTAAAATTTAGGATTTGACAGGTTTGTGACTTAGTAAGAACCCATGCTACAAGTGGTGCTATAGAGAGGGAGAGGTGTACGGATATATCCTTTTGTATAAGGGTAAGGCCGGTGTAGAACTATATACCATGCCCATGACACAGTCTCCCAATACTTACACTCTCAATCTCGTCGTCAAGTTCACAGTTAAAATCAAGTTCTCTGAGTTTGTCTTCTATCATTTTCTCAGTTTCTAGGATTTCATTTTGGGTTAGTAGCTGTAATGAAATTGTCTACAAATTCTAAGTACAAGGGTCCAAATGACATCAGTCACTTTAATTTAGTTACCGTACTCGACCTAATAACAGCCAGGGCACTTGAACATTTTGGGACATCTACAAAAATGTAGAATCTCCAAATTTTCCATAAAAAAAATAGTCTGGTAAGTTGGTAAATTATGATGAAGGAATATAACACTCAAATAAAAAGGACAGTGGGTGCTTTTAAGAGATGTAACATATTTTAGGTCAAATACGGTATATGAAAATACAGCTATATTTAGCTACTTGTGCAGCAGGAAATACTGTAGATATATACCAAAGCCGTATAGTACCAAACAGATGTAAGAACCCTAAGCACCAGGGAAATGTTATAGATAAATTTTAAGTGGGCTACTATGAATTCCAATCTTACTACAGTGTATGTGGCACACAATGCATAATGAAATGATGATGATAAAGAATAACAATTGACAATGAATTATGATAACACATCTAAATGATTGATGACACAAAGCATGTTTGCAAGAAAACGTATCACAAAACATGTGGCAAAAGAAATGTATATGTCAGGCATGCAAATTAGGTGTAAAGGAGCTGTCTGGGCTCACAGAGGACAATCTCGATAATCTCTACGGTGTTCAGCGAGATGATTCTGGCCAAACACTGTACACCGATGTTGATATGTGACCTCGATAATCTCTACGGTGTTCAGTGAGATGATTCTGGCCAAACACTGTACATTGATGTTGATCTGTGACATCTTTTGATGACCCTGGTGATTTGCATGTTGATCAAGCTAGCTGTGACCACTAAATAACCCATACAATGTATGTTGATCACAAGTGACCTCTGTGACTATTAAATTATCCCTAACCCACAGTCTATTTGGCCTTCATATGTATACATTGACAACTCACTTCACTGTGATCTCTCTGACTATTCACTCATTCACCCCTGAAATTTCATAATGAACTATTCCAACCTTTGAATTGGAAGAGTTCAAATGTGTCTTCACGGGTGAATGAGAATTAACTTATCCCTAACCCTCTGTCTATTTGACCTCCATATGAACCAAATGCTGATCTCACATTGCTGTTCATAATATGTTTTCAACTAATTTAACTGCTGTTTCTGTTTTGAGCAAGACACAGCCATATTTTATTTCGTACTAATTTATGATTTAGCTTCACCTCCTCCCAACCAATCATTGACTTAACCCCTAACAGTATTGCTTCCATCAGCTAACTGTGACCTCAGAGATGTATGGCTTCCCTGGACTTACTTCTAACCTCATGTTAACCAAATAAACTACATAAACTCGTTAGATATGTATGATTTATGACTTTAATCTGCCAAATTGACATTAACCTTCAAACTTGTTATTAAACTCCCTTGACCCCATACTGACCTTTGACACCATACATTCCACTTCAATATTGACCTATGAACCTTTGCACATATACTGACCAACGTGTTTGAGCCCTATCACCATGTCGACATAACCTAACCTGATTTTTACCTATGAACTCTAGCCCCTGTTGAGCTATGAACTCTTATCCATGATGACCTATGAACTTTACCTGATGTTGACCTGTGAACTCTAGCCCATGTTGAGCTATGACCTTATCCGATATTGAACAGATAACTATAATCCATGATGACCATTGAATTCTAACCATTGATGATCAACCTATGATCCTTTTTGCCTCTGTACATGTGTCTGACCCTAAGTTAACCTATGACCTCTACATCTGACCCTTTGCTGACCTGTTTTCTCATCTCCTTGTACATGTGTCTGACCCTACGTTAACCTGATGACCTCTACATCTGACCCTTTGCTGACCTGTTTTCTCATCTCCTTGTTGTCCTTGCGGATTCTCGCAATCTCACTGTCCAGTCTGTTCGCCTTGTTGAACTGGACCTCAGCGATGTTCTGGAGTTCCGATACCTGGGAGGCCGTCCTCTTCTGCATGTGTTTCATCTCCTGTGAGGGTTAACATTTGTTTAACTACGGTACAAGCCACATCACTACACACCTTAGTACCATAAATACCCTATGTCGGTTTGATTCTGATATTTATGACAAGAAAAATAACACAACTCTTTATACTACAAAGTTAATGCATAGTCAAATTATTTCGCTCAATCACTGCAAAGATTAATTTATCATTAAAAAAAACTCAAATCATAGAAGTTCAAACACATTAACTAAATGTTATAGAAAAATTCAGAACAAACATGTTATAAACAGTATATTTTGAATTTGAATATGTCAAAGGAAATGTATTAAGATTGTTTTTTTGATAACTTAAACATCTAACGACACTATAGTGCCTGCATGCACCTAAAGCTAATCTACTTGTGATTGTTTAGCACTATGATTATAACAAAGGTTATGTAAATGATCAATATACAATAGAAGATAAAGTGGGTTTACTCAATAAAGTTTCTTTTTATTAAATCTATCTAAACTTTGTTTACTGATAATTTTTCATCCAATTCCTTTCAATATATATAATTTTTTTTATATATATACAACACAGCAATTTTCAGTTTACAACAAAAAGTAACTGACACAGGAATGACCGGATCATACATAGTGATAATTGAAATGTACATATAGTAGGTACAGGTGAGGGAGATAAGATAATGTTTGTGAGGTGATATAGGTGTGTAGTACAGGTGTGTACATGGTAGGACAGGTACTACACAGGTAGGACAGTGGTTTTATTGGACGGGAGATAAGATAATGTTTGGGAGGTGATATACAGGTGTTTACATGTTAGGACAGGTACTAGACAGGAAGGACAGTGGTTTTATAGGTGGGGAGATAAGATAATGTTTGTAAGGGGATATATAGGTGTTTAGTACAGGAGTGTACATGGTAGGACAGGTACAAGACATGTAGGACAGTGGTTTTATAGTTAGGAAACTGATACAATATAAACATTAAGACATAGTGAGGTATTTCCCGTCAACCATTGGTGACACTTATACAAGACTGAATCATGAAGGTGTTCCCACCTAAGTCAATAAAAAAAAAATATAATGTTTAACTAAGACCCTTTAATCCATAATACGTTATGAGACCTCTGGGTACAAGACAGGTAGGACAGAGGTTTTATAGGTAGGGCGATAAGATAATGTTTGTGAAGGGGTATACGGGTGTTTACATGGTAGGACAGTGGATTTATAGGTAGGGAGATTAGTTAATGTTTGTGAGGTGATAAATAGGTGTTTACATGGTAGGTAAAGTGGTTTTATAGGTAGGGAGATATGATAATGTTTGTGAGGTGAAATCTAGGTGTTTACATGGTAGGTAAAGTGGTTTTATAGGTAGGGAAATAAGATAATGTTTGTGAGGTGTTATATAGGTGTTTAAATGGTAGGACAGTGGTTTTATAGTTAGGAAACTGATACAATATAAACATTAAGACATAGTGAGGTATTTCCCGTAAACCATTGGTGACACTTATACAAGACTGAATCATGAAGGTGTTCCCACCTAAGTCAATAAAAAAAAAATATAATGTTTAACTAAGACCCTTTAATCCATAATACGTTATGAGACCTCTGGGTACAAGACAGGTAGGACAGAGGTTTTATAGGTAGGGCGATAAGATAATGTTTGTGAGGTGAAATCTAGGTGTTTACATGGTAGGACAGCGGTTTTATAGGTAGGGAGATTAGATAATGCATGCGAGGCGATATATAGGTGTTTAGTACAGGAGTGTACATGGTAGGACAGGAACAAGACAGGTAGGACAGTCGTTTTATAGGTAGGGAGATAAGCTAATGTTTGTGAGGTGATATAGGGGTTTAGTACAGGTGTGTACATGGTAGGACAGGAACAAGACAGGTAGGACAGTCGTTTTATAGGTAGGGAGATAAGATAATGGTTGTGAGGGGATATATAGGGGTTTAGTACAGGTGTGTACATGGTAGGACAGGAACAAGACAGGGAGGACAGTGGTTTTATAGGCAGGGAGATAAGATAATGTTGGTGAGGTGATATATAGGTGTGTACATGGTATGACAGGTACAAGACAGGAAGGACAGCGGTTTTATAGGTAGGGAGATATGATAATGTTTGTGAGGTGATATAGGGGTTTAGTACAGGTGTGTACATGGTATGACAGGTACAAGACAGGTAGGACCGTGGTTTTATAGGTAGGGAGGTTAGATAATGTTTGTGAGGAGATATATGGGTGTTTACATTGTAGGACAGTTACTAGGCAGGTAGGACAGTGGTTTTATTGGACGGGAGATAAGATAATGTTTGGGAGGTGATATACAGGTGTTTACATGGTAGGACAGGAACAAGACAGGGAGGACAGTGGTTTTATAGGTAGTGAGATAAGATAATGTTTGTAAGGGGATATATAGGTGTTTAGTACAGGTGTCTACATGGTAGGACAGGTACTAGACAGGTAGGACCGTGGTTTTATAGGTAGGGAGGTTAGATAATGTTTGTGAGGAGATATATGGGTGTTTACATTGTAGGACAGTTACTAGGCAGGTAGGACAGTGGTTTTATTGGACGGGAGATAAGATAATGTTTGGGAGGTGATATAGGTGTTTAGTACAGGTGTCTACATGGTAGGACAGGTACTAGCCAGGTAGGACAGTCGTTTTATAGGTAGGGAGATATGATAATGTTTGTGAGGTGATCTAGGTGTTTAGTACAGGTGTCTACATGGTAGGACAGGTACTAGCCAGGTAGGACAGTCGTTTTATAGGTAGGGAGATTAGATTATGTTTGTGAGGTGATATATATGTGTTTACATGGTAGGACAGATACAAGACAGGTAGGACAGAGGTTTTATAGGTAGGGAGTTTAGATAATGTTTGTGAGGTGTTATATAGGTGTTTACATGGTGGGACAGTGGGTTTATAGGTAGGGAGATTAGATAATGTTTGTGAGGTGATCTAGGTGTTTAGTACAGGTGTGTACATGGTAGGACAGGAACAAGACAGGTAGGACAGTGGATTTATAGGTAGGGAGATAAGATAATGTTGGTGAGGTGATATATAGGTGTTTACATGGTGGGACAGTGGGTTTATAGGTAGGGAGATTAGATTATGTTTGTGAGGTGATATACAGGAGTTTAAATGGTAGGACAGGTACAAGACAGGAAGGACAGCGGTTTTATAGGTAGGGAGATATGATAATGTTTGTGAGGTGATCTAGGTGTTTAGTACAGGTGTCTACATGGTAGGACAGGTACTAGACAGGTAGGACAGTGGTTTTATAGTTAGGAAACTGATACAATATAAACATTAAGACATAGTGAGGTATTTCCCGTCAACCATTGGTGACACTTATACAAGACTGAATCATGAAGGTGTTCCCACCTCAGTCAATAAAAAAAAAATATAATGTTTAACTAAGACCCTTTAATCCATAATACGTTATGAGACCTCTGAGTTTTATGAACTTTATTAAGTGTTAAAGTTTTAATTGCAAAAAGTAAAAAAATGTGTATTTGGGGAAAAAACAATTTATCATTAACTAAAAGCAATGAAATATTTATTCTGGGTGTAAAGAATGCTGTTAAAATATAAGCCGTATAAAATCATATGCACACTTGTTATAAAAGCCAGCTATCATTGACTAGCAAAGTTGTCTAGGTTAACGTGTCTGACATGCAAAAGTGTCTAGTCCAAGTATCTCAAGAGAGTGAAAACTTACACCAGAAATATACTACTGTAATATGTACAATAATTATATATAACTAGACCTGGTAAATAGATAGCTTCAAACACACAATCGGGTGATTGACCCCAAAACATCCAGATTGGTCGCTCAGAAATTTACAAACAATATCTCCTGGTACAAATAAACCATATGACTGTTTAACGATCTAACACAGACTGCCTCGAGACAAGGAACCAAACCTAAGGGCAGGCCATGGTTCAAATGCTGTCTGATGCTCTAGATCCCAAAGCCAAACCTGGAGATGAAATTGTTCAATTTCATCTTTTGATTTCAATAAGAGTCATAATTTTGTTAAACTCGGTATATATTGTGTTAATCTACTAGGTTTCAGTTTTCTTTTGAGAAACTTGGACCGGATTTCATGCCCGTACAATATTATGTTTACACTTCTATATTCTAGTCTCCTAAGTTACCTGTTTCGCTAACTCTAACTGAACCTGCATATCATGCATTGCATTTTCCATCTGAAGACGTTCTCTTGTTGTCTTTGTATGATCCTATAGGTGCAACACATGAGGTAAGTTAAGGTATATGTAGGGAGGTTCAAACACACAAACACCAAAGAGTGAATACAAGGGAGATAATCATCATATAAAAAAATACAAAGGGAGACAATCATAGGCAGAAATTTGGGAGAGGAAAGATCCAACAAACATGATTTTAGAAAAGGAATATGTTTAAAACATACATATTGAAGAAAAAATTGTAAATTCTTAGAAAGGGTGATGGAGAACAAACAATTTTTTGTAATGATATAAAGCTGTATTCAGAATAAAATTCACCAGTTTGGTATGAGTAATAAAGGCTACGTTTGTTTAAAGCACAAACAGGAAATGAAAACTTTGTTTTGCAAGCTTTCAAAAACGTCTGTTTCCTTTGTCAAGCAAAGAGTGTAAATGAGCGGTGTCTCGACTCTAAAACTCTGAAACCAACTCACTAAGCCCCAGTGTGCCGAATCAGTAAAGTCAGCTGTCAAAAATCATAGATATTTCACCCAATTGTGCTCTAATAGTGCAGGCAGTCAGGGGGCCGGGTATCATGTTTACCCATTCTGCCCCTTATTGGATGTTAAAATGGGGTCATAAAGATTACTCAGCTGGTGACCTCATAACAAACTTAGCCTTTGTTTACAGTTGTAATTCCAAAATTTTGTTTAGAAAATAATTTGTTTTCAAGATGAAATAAAAAAAAAAGCAGAACAGTCAAGAGTTTCCAAGAAAGACTACATTGCTAATTAAAATTTAAAAAAAACTAAAAATATCACCAAGATCCAACAAAATGAAGCATGTGATATCTGCTATCAGTAGAAAATCTACAGAAATTTTATTTATCTGTATCCACCACCACCATTGAGGAAATTTTATTCAATCTACAAATGTAAGACAGAAAATGACCTAATATCATCAAGATTCAGTAGGAAGGTTGGAAACCCAACTTAAAACCCTGGAAATCAAACAAGTAGCAGAGCCATGCCGCACTACAGACACACACTGAAGTAGCTTAGTATGGTACACAACTAGCTCTGTAGGGTTTAGGTCCTTACCTGGGCAGCCTCTGTGCGTAGTTTCTGTAGCTCCTCGTAGGACCGTGACAAAGCCTTGGCCAGCTCACTCTTCTCCTCGTTTCTCTCCGCTACTTCTCTCTCTGTCAATATAATTATCTTTCATTTAACAAATTGGTTGCATCCACTTGATAATGTATGTTTCATAGTTTATAGTTTAAAAGAGATATCTTTTTTTTTTTTAAAAGCAAAACAGAAAAAAGAAATACCTGTAACGGACAAGATAATATCTTTCAATAGAAACACCCGATACAAAGCAGCTAAAACACTGCCATAATTTGCCTACTATTGTTTTTAAGTCATTCACCCCTGAAATTTCAAAATGAACTATTCCCGCCTTTGAATTGGAATAGTTCAAATGTATCCTCAGGGGTGAATGAGTTACTTGTACTCTAACTGATCCCTTGGAGGTGATGCCTCTCTGAGTGGTCACCAATCAAGAAACAACATTTACCATACTCAGAATTCCAGAGGTTACCGGTATACGCTAGAATATATCTGACGCCACCACCTTGTGGAAGATTCAAGTAAACTAGTTTGACCCTTCGATGAACATCGAAAGAACCATGTAATAGCATAATTGTAAAATTTGCTGTCTTTGGCGCGGAATGTTGATCCTGTGTAATCTTCAAAGGACAGATATCAGCCTAGTGATTGGTCAGTTTGTTTTTCTTGTAACCAATCAAGCAGCTAATTAACTGCATGTCTTAGATTTTGTCATGACATGTTCCAGGAGAGCAGAGAATGTAAGTGAGCAAAACCCCGGGAATTTCAAGAATGAGCATTCACTTACCAAATCAGTACATCATTACCTATACCAACCGTACGCCTGGCAACTAAACAAAACTATGTATTAAAAAAATCTGTACAACTCTTCAGTACTTACCTAGATCTTTTATGATTTTATCCATTTCATGAAACTTCTCCTCGTTAACTTGAAGTTGTTCAGTTTCCCTCTGTAGATTTTAAGTAAAGCAAAACATAAGAACAGATGTTTTCTATAATCAATGCTAGATTACATGTCTATACATATTTAATAGTAAGTTCTGTAACAAAATATAAAATTTAAAAAATCATACATTATTTTATGAAATTCTATTACATTGATGAAAGCTATCTTGTTGACAGTGCAGTCAGCTACTGACTAGCTATAGGTTAAATATTGTGTGAGTTAATAAATTAAAAAATGATTACTTAGAAAATCAAGATAAAAAGAGAGAGAAAAAAAAAATTGCTATTTTAAGCCTGCAGACTCTCCACTAAGTATGTAAAAGATGAATGGTGGATTGAAGTAATGATTGTTTTGTTAATATCCACAAAAAAATGAAAGAATCACTTGAAACCACTGCTTTTCAGACAATAAAATCCATGAAATGCTTGGCAGACCTCATTATTCTAATTGTGTAAGTGATCAATTAAATAAGCCATATAAACACAGTTGTATTAACATTTAAATATATGAATGGAAAAAAAGAAGAATATCTATTTGTTTGGATTTACCAGACATGAATTTTAGTGAAGGTATAATCTACTTCCTAAGACTATAAAGTTCATACTATATGTGCAGGTTTCATTTCGCCATGTTTGCAAAATACAAATCTTGTGAAATTGTTGTAACCCTGATAGAGATTGAATTGCAGAGTTATCTTCTCTTGTGAGCAGGTATTGATTGTTACGTCATTGGTTTGTGTGAGAAAACTCTGCTGTTTTCTCAAAAATTGATGACGTTCCTCTCAAAAACCAATGACGTAACAAACAATACGTGCTCACAAGAGAAGATAACTCTGCAATACGCAAAGACGGAATAGACTATTATCGGTGTTTGATATTTATAATCTGCTTGAATTGGTTTCAGAAACAAAACGCAAAATTGATCCCTTAAAATTCAGTATAAAGATGTGGACATATCATTCAGTTTCTAATATAAAGATATAAAATTTGACTTTCCAGGTTAATTCATCGTTTCATTTTACTGTACATGCAGAAAATGAATCAGGTGAGAACACACCTTTACCCGAAGGATCAATAGGATACAAATTTCACTTATTGTTCCATTGAAATTGACAAAGACCATTAAACAAATTGCTATTATAGGACAGTATTTTGGAATACCTTGTCAAAAAATATTTATTAAAAATATTTTAATGCTTAAATTTTTGTATTAACTCATTCACCCCTGAAATTTCATAATGAACTATTCCAATCTTTGAATTGGAAGAGTTCACATGTGTCTTTAGGGGTGAATGAGTTAAACCCACTCTCTGAAGGTTTGCCTATTGATTTGCTTCGGCGGTGAAAAACATTTGTCAGGAATCAGGAGATTTATAATAGAACACAGTTTCTGACAGCCAAGGGGTGAAACAAATAAAGGGTTAAATTAAAATTTGTAGTTATCATTCCAGGGCTGTTAATAAATTATTTACTAAATACTGAAACTGGTTATTGATAATTAAGGAAAGGAAGAGAAAACCCAAAATTTTGCATACAAAATTGATTATGTTGTAAAATGTTAAACATCTGGCATCAAAATTTCAGGAACAACACAATATGTTTCACACGGGACAAACAAAAACTCAAAAATATTAATATATATTGGAAAAGATGTTAAAGAAATATTTGAAAATGGTCTTTTTCGGCCTTGAATTCAACTTGAATAAGTTGAAATGAACACTGAACTTATAAAACCACTGCATGAACATAACACAACTTCATAATCACTGATTAAAAACCTGCTACAGATACACAGACTCCCAGCTACTGGACGTTACAGACAAAAGACCAACCTTGAATTTTTCCATAGAGTGAGTGGCCTGCTCTAGGTCTAACTGTTTAGCATGAAGGTCACTTCTGATATTGTCGAGTTCAAGGTTAGCATTACTGACCAGCTGAAATCACCACCAGGCAAAGGAGACAGGTCAAAGGTCAGTAAATACACGCTCACATACCCTCAAAGTCTGCTCAGCCTCACCGTGCCATGTTTTTTTCACATTTCATTACCTTTGTAAAGGGAATGAATCAGAGCTCCCTACCCGCAGAGTCTCAGAACTAAGGCATAGAAACTTTGTGAAGGATATGGGGCCTTTTTACATTCCGTGAGCACCGAAAGTACTTACTGTAACAGTTATTCTTTAGATGATTTTTATTCACACTGATTTGAATACATGAAATGATTTCATAACAGAGCTATATATCTCCTTTGTGCAAATGTTAGATTTCATAAATGACTTGATGCAAAAAAAAGTATATGTACGTAGTTGAGGTGCTTTACAATATCTTACACAGAGACATAATGTCACTACATTTATCACGAAAAGATCATTGATGACCAGATGAGGTTGTGAAATGTGAAAATTGCACATTAATTTAAGAATTGTGAAATAGCTGAACAGGCTTTGAGCATAGATGCGAGCAGTGTCGTAGTGATAATTCAGTAACCATGGCTACAAATTAAATGGCTTTTGACCATTGGTCAGTTCTTAATAACAGCATTGATTTGAAATTTCATAGTTTTAAAGGATGCATATGAAATTTTAAAATTTGTCACTAATTACCAAATCAATTTTTTAAATTGATGAATTTATTAAAAAAAAAAAATTGTTGATCAAATTTAAAAGGTCAATGTGTAACCATGTCAATGATGAGGGCGGTAAATTTCAAAATTATTAAATTGCTAACTACTGCATTAATTGAGAGTTACTGAGAAGTTTGAACTTAAACAAAAAGATGAGTTTTTGAAGCAAAATTATCTATAAATAGAGGCAAACCAAGTATAAAATTATTACATTCATACTATGTTTTTTTTATTATTAAATTTGAATTAAAACATTTCAAGTAATAATAATATGAAAATTACAAGCATTGGTCAAATAAAAATATTTACAATAAAAACTTTCTTCTGTAGTTATAGCCGTATATACTGTCTTTATAGAACTTACTATTTTGACATCACAGATGGTAGTACATGTACACCTGTACTACATGTACACCTGTACTACAGCTTAAACTAAAGATTACACTATTTATTTTATCATTGTTGAAATATCATTTTTAATGAAGCTTAGAAAAAAAACAAGAAAAAAAAACATGATTTGAAAATTCAAAGAAAATTAGTCAAAACAAAGACTTTATATAAAGAGGTGTATAGGAAAGTACAAAACAACTGTTTTCATTAATATAAAAAGTTGGAAATGGAATGGATAAAACCAAAATTGGTTGTGGTAAAAAAATTAGCAAACACTGGTTTAAGAATTAACTTGAGGCGCATGCATGATAGAAGTATAGACTGTATTAATGTCGGTTTGCCTACCTTGTTCAGTTTATTCTCCTCTCTCTCCACCTCTTTTCTTACTTTGCTGAGAGCCTGAACGAAAAAGTAATTTGTTTTATTTTTTCATTGACAGTTAATGACAATCAAGTTTTCTGTTGGTTTTTAGTATTCTATAAAATAAATATCGTGCATCGAAGTTTTCTCGATAATTGTTCGCTTCAACATTTTTTCTAAACTTGATTAAAACTTCCAAGACATGTTATCTCTCTCATGAGTCAGTCATTTAAAGAAATGATATACATTTTTTTTTCTTGATATTACAATAATTAATTACTCATATTTTTTTTTTTTACTTATGCACTAAATGACCCTTAAATGTAAGTTCAAAGGACAGAACACGTAAAAATATTACTGCAGTATTACTATGACCAAAAAGACTCATTTCGAAAATCTGACATAAATATAACTGATTCACGATGGTATATCTATGTTGCCCCGGTATTTACCATGCGCGCCTCCTGGTATTCGAACTCTTTCTCGGCCACAGACTTGAGTAGTTCCTGAAGGTCCTCGTGTTTCTGTTTCTCCTGTCGTATGTAATCCTCGTACGACTGTCGACTCGTGCGGATCGCCTCGTTGATACGTTCCATCTCCAGCTTAGATTCGTCACGTTGGTGTGTTACTTCCCGGAGATCCTAAACAACACCAAGTTATATAAAATCTATAGACACTCAGAAATTCTGGCTTCTCACTGGGGTCTGATGGTAGTGTTAGCAGGTTTTGACAATGATTGGCGACAGTGATTTTATGTTTAAATTATCAAACATACATCTCGTTTATTTCTATTTACCGAAGTAAAAACAGTCAGTTTATGGTCTTGATTTCACATAAAGATTTAAACATTGTATTCCCAGCGTGTCCGTTGACCTATGGTTCTGTAACACTGTGATAAGATCATACAGGAACCGTACTTAAGATATTTTCTCATCAAAAACAAAAATCTGTACAATAAGATTCTCAAAATCCAAGCTTAAGGGGACTGCAAAATTGAGAAAGTTATCTGGGTGTCATCAATTATTTAAACAAAACCGTAGCGTTTATGCAATTCATGACTAAATTTTCTGTTCTAGGCCGGGTTTTCCATTCACCCAAGGCAGACCCAATGAAGTCTTGCTGTAGTGACTTACCTGTTCTAAATGTCTCGACTGGTCATCAATGAAGTCTTGCTGTAGTGACTTACCTGTTCTAAATTTCTCGACTGGTCGTCAATGAAGTCTTGCTGTAGTGACTTACCTGTTCTAAATGTCTCCACTGGTCGTCAATGAAGTCTTGCTGTAGTGACTTACCTGTTCTAAATGTCTCGACTGGTCGTCAATGAAGTCTTGTTGTAGTGACTTACCTGTTCTAAATGTCTCGACTGGTCGTCTGCTTCTCTTACATGTTCTTTTAGTGCTTTAAGTTCTGATTTAGTTTCTGAAAATACAGAAGTAGAACATATACTATAGTACATTGTAGTTTACATGTACCGTTCCATAAAACTTACACAAAGTATAGATTGCACAGGTGGCTGACATTTGCAAATTAAAATCGTAAAAACTACCGCTCAATAACCCATTCCTTCAGGGAAAGCTTACCTTTAGAAGTTTGTTTGAGGGAAAGCTTACCTTTAGAAGTTTGTTTGAGGGAGTGTTTACCTTTAGAAGTTTGTTTGGGGGAAGGCTTACCTTTAGTAGTTTGTTTGAGGGAAGGCTTACCTTTAGAAGTTTGTTTGAGGGAGTGTTTATCTTTAGAAGCTTGTTTGAGGGAGTGTTTACCTTTAGAAGCTTGTTTGAGGGAGTGCTTACCTTTAGAAGTTTGTTTGAGGGAGTGTTTACCTTTAGAAGTTTGTTTGAGGGAAAGCTTACCTTTAGAAGTTTGTTTGAGGGAAAGCTTACCTTTAGAAGTTTGTTTGAGGGAAGGCTTACCATTAGAAGTTTGTTTGAGGGAGTGTTTACCTTTAGAAGTTTGTTTGAGGGAAAGCTTACCTTTAGAAGTTTGTTTGAGGGAAAGCTTACCTTTAGAAGTTTGTTTGAGGGAAGGCTTACCATTAGAAGTTTGTTTGAGGGAGTGTTTACCTTTAGAAGTTTGTTTGAGGGAAAGCTTACCTTTAGAAGTTTGTTTGAGGGAAGGCTTACCTTTAGAAGTCTGTTTGAGGGAGTGTATTTCTTTCTGTAGAGCTGTCCTCTGATGGTTAGCCTCATCCATTTCCTTTTCTCGTTGTCGTAGTTCTACCTCTAACGACTCCAGTCGTTTGGCAGACGTTTCCATTTTTTCTTCTATTATATTGTGTGTTCTGTGGATGATAAAGAAACAATATTTTAAACTAAACTTTACCAATCAAGCTTAGTATGGATTAACAGAAATGGTTACCGGTATATATTTCATTTGTTCAGTATTCAACATTAAACATTCCAAACTTTTGACAAACTTCTCGCATTCTGAGAACATCAAATGACAGTCAAAGGGCGAACCGTGGTCGATCATGTGACAATACAGACATACATATATTTGATTAGTTGAACTTTCATACAATTACACCACATGATTACAATGTAGGAAAACTAAAAGTAACGGGATATAAATTCCAAAAGCATCACATTCTGTATAACCGTTTGTGGTTCTACACAATCAGATGTTCAGCTATACAGCACACATTCCCTGGCGTACACAAATCACCTCACCTTTTCATTTGATTAATTTTGTTGTCCAGTGATTTACAGTTATCGTCCAGCATCTCCTTCTCGCGCGTCATGGCCGCTATGCGGTCCTCCAGTGAGCGTTTGTCGAGGGTGAGGCGTTCAGTGTCCTGCCGGTCACGGTCCAGTGCCTGGCGGAACCGTTCCAGTTCAGAGGCTTTACGGTTGATTTCTGCCGTAAGTTGTTCTAATTCCGCCTTTTCCTAAAAGAAGAAGAATCACTTGTTAGATGTATGGTTGAAAGACATATTAATGGGTAGTCAGTTACAAACTGAACCCTATCTAACTTGAATCAGAGACTTCATTGATTCTTCAACATCCCACATAATTATGTTATATGACAGGTAAGACAATATAACTGGTGATATGCACTGCCCTTGTTTTTGTATGAGAGACAATGCACGACCATGATGTAAGTGCATGACCACTTTACGGTAATCGATGACTAAGATATCACCTAGAAATCTATATTTTAGTATCTGAGGTCAAGGTCAAAAGTTACACTGAGGTGTTTGAGATAAAACCCGAAAACCTTTCTTTTAGTGGAGTGGACAGAACTTGATGCCCTCACATGTCCATCACTAGTCAAGACATGGTATCTCTTCTGTACATTACAGGACTGTCACTGCTCAGTCAAGATCTCATTACCAAATTACATTTGATAATCCAATGGATTAGAAAGGGGTCAAAATGAGAACTGGTCCTATTAAGCAATAAGAATTAGCAAACTGAAAAGATGTTATACTTGCTGAACAAGACAGCGAGATTAAAATCAAACATGGGTTTAACATCCATCAATTTATTACGGAACCGTCCGACTGTCCTATATAATTCTTCCTGGACACTTACTGCTATAAGTTCGCGCTGTGTTTTCTCGAGTTCGGACACTTTTTGTGCGTGGGTACTTTTGACACTGTTGAGGTTTGTTTGTTCCAGTTTCTGCATTTCATACGCGTGTTTCAGTTCTGTTTTGTGCTTGTTCACAGATCCAATAAGTTTCTGTAACACTTCGTCTTCCGTTTGCACTTCCTCTTTAACTTTCGAGAGTTCTCCCCTCTTGCTTTTGATTGCAGTCACCAGGTCGCTCTTGGTAATTTCTAGATCTCGCAAATGTTCTCGACATTCCTATAATGTAAAGGAAAAATTATTCATCAAAAGTAAAATGTGGATAAAGTTACGCTAATATTAAAAGTATTAAAAGTCACTATCAGCATTACAGTTTATCTCTGTGTGTCAAACCAAAACAAATGAAAATCCTAGTAACATTTCAAAAATTCTGGAGATTTTCTCGTTTTCTTTTTATCGATAATTGTCATATTATCTGTTGTATATTTTCAGTGTCATACCATAAACAATATCTCTTAAATCTTTTGTATGTGACATGTCACATTAGATGTACTATAATAATCCTAAAATGAGGCAAGGGAGCTACTGTAAAATGTGGGATTAAAAGCTAAGGATGGACCTACTGAAGGGATATATACAATGTATTGTATTTAAAAAGGCATTTGATGCAGCTAAAATTAGATGGGCTTATTACCAAGCATGGGCTTATAGTCAGATAAATACTGTGTGATGTCACAGTAACATTGAGATGATGTCGAGAATTCAGAGAGAAAGGCAGAAATGACGGAATTTGTTTGTTTCATTCTGTTCTTTTTCCACTTAATTTTGTCATCTAATGTGTTATTTTACACAGGTAAACCATGTGATGAAAAAACATATAATAGCAAACCTGTTTCTTTCCATGATATTTTGTGTCATAAACAAATATTGTATTTATCATTTATCAAGTCACTTGAGATCCTTTATTTATTGTTATGCCATGTTGTAGACAGGGGGTTCAAATATATGACATGAATCAGTTACATAGTTATGTTCCCTACCCTGAGCTCTCGTTGTTTGAGGTTTATTTCTCCCTCGGCATCGCGCAGGACCTGATTGAGTTCGTTCCCTTTGCGCTCGGCTGTGTCCTGGATGAGCTGTAATTCTGTCCGTTTCTTGCCCATCAACTGATCGACTTTTTCTAGTTCACGTCTTTGTACCTCAATCTGGACAGCCAATCAAAACACAGTTAAAGGTTGTTTAGATATATTTACATCCAAGATCATATCAACAAATTTAAAATTGGTATGTTTAAATTATCCTATGGAATGGTTCATAATTTGTCTTGAATTTTCTTAAATCAGACAATCAACTTAAAGTATACTTACACTCCTTTGTCTCAAATCCAAGACATTTTTGTTGAAATAACTCATGTATATATTTGTTTGAATTGTCAAAATCAAAAGTGAGTCCCTTTATTCTAAATACAGGAATCAATTTTGATGACTTGTCTCTCTTCTCCTTGAATATTTTTTAAGGTGACTGTCATCCAGACTGTAAACGTGAATTTTATAACTGGAATATGTACAATAAACCCAGTTATTTCCCCTTCCCTTAATCTGTCGTTACCAAACAAAGTCTGGTCAGAAAGTCACCTTTGACAACCCACAGGAGTAACAGAAACTTTGGATGAAATATTGATAATGTCATAGAGGTCAAAATATCCACAGCTTCATCACAACTACCAGCAAAAATAGTCTTTCTTGTTTGTTTCACTCGAAGACATGAAGTTAGGATTTATTCAATCATTTTATCAATCTTATGATGAAGAAATGAACAAAAATATATTTAAAATGTTCTTTTTATTTGGTTATCCCAAGTTTTATATGTCAGCAAGTCACACACATACAATGTACGGTTATGTTATATGTTCCTTGTATACACACAGATAAATTATTCTCTCTATATATAACACACATCTAACCAGACAAACTTTATACACGCATATATACATATCACAGACACAATCACAAAACAGGGCCCGGTCACCTCAGGGATATCACAGTCATATCAAATATACTGTAAAGATCTGTTTTTGTGAGAGATACATTTTAGCGTTAAATCACAAAGAAAAACGACAGTGAATTGCTATAACTCACAAAAATTACCTCAGATATCTATAAACACGAGTTACATACATTATTCTTTCTAGCAAATTCAATTTCTGATGATTAAGTAGTTGGAAGCAAGAATGGCTAAAAAAAAAGTTTCCAGAAATAACGTGACTTATGGTAACACTACACTATCACTTACATATTTCTTACAGAGAGTAAATTTATCCTGATTTCAAAAGCTACTTTTCTTATTTTGAATATTTATTAATTTTGGAATACAAGTATAAATGAATAAATATGTTTTCTCAGTTAACTATGGATTATCAAAGATGAACAGAACAGGGAAAGTGTAATGAAGTCAAAGCCAGGAGTTATTTTTATTTTATTCAAAATACCCCTGTGATGATTAAATATCAATCTGTGACTTTTTATGGCAAAGCATGCATATCAACCAATATGTGTCCCTACGGCTGATCTTGCATACAGTAAAAGATGACCGTTATATCTCTGGACTAGGGAATAATTTGTACCTTACCATGCATACTGAATGTTTGCAACGCAAAACTGATACTTTATTACAGGTAAACAAATTAAAGCTGCATCTCACATGAGGAATACTCAAAAAACACAATTATACACATAAATAAATAAAATCCCTGTTGGTCCAAAAATGACATATCATAAATAAATACTACATTATGTTGTGAGGAAATGCCATGTAAATCAAGTACATGTTATAATAAACAGCTATTATTGTACCTGATAATATTTTCAGGGAGACAACTTTACACACATATTCCAAAGTAAGCTCAGAAAATTCATTCAGACTGCTGTCCAATTTGTGTAGCACTTGATGTAAAAACAGTGAATTCTTTATAGATGTTTGCAGTAAAGAAACTGTTAAGCCTTTACAGGTACCTGTTAGGACAAATACGGTAATTCTTTTGTCCGGTGTTTATACTGTCCCTATAAGTTAATTATTATATTTTTATTATATATTAATCAAACATTTACAGAGGATTCTCCACAAATTCTCAATATTTCTAAACATTACAGTTAGAATATTTATTTCTTGTTAAAATGCATTCAAAAAGGGTATATATATGTAGCATACAGTGTGCATATGATATCATTGTGTTATTACGTTTTGTTAATCCTATGTGTTAGTCATTATACATCCACAGAACTATATTTTAACGTCTCCATTATTCCAATGAACTGTATGTATGAAAACTGATAGTTGCATTGGCCCATACTATATCTGAAACTATTTTCTATAATTATTTTAAATTTAAAAAAATTAAAAAAAAAATTAAAAAAATTAAAAAAAAAAAAAAAAAAAAAAATCTTTCACCAGTAATAATATTTACGAAAGTGAAAACACTTTTTTGATACCGGAAAACTAGCCAAAATGATTTATAGTGAAATATAGCTGATAATCAGTGAGAAATTGTCTTCAAAACAGAACACTATACTAATCCAGTTAATTCCTGTTTGTTTTAAAATTACTGAATTCTACAATCTGATTATGAAAATATAGGGTTGTTTTGAAGAAACAGTATTTACTGAAGTACATACATGCTACAGACTGGGTAATAGAGACAGATAATCTACAGTAGCTACAGGTACTACACCGGGATCAGACAGGTTTGTACAAATAGTCTCAGAGATTGTCTACTTCATGTGATTTGGAATTTTCACCAAAGGTTGCTATAAATAGGGGTGGGAGGGGTGTTCTTTTATACTATCAATTTTCCGCAAACTCAGTAAAGGTTGCTGTTCTCAAAATATTCAGGATATTCCCCTTATTTCCCCCCAGAAAGTGCCTGATTTCCCCCATGAGAGTGCCTGATTTCCCCCCAGAAATTGTCTTAATTTCCCCTGGAAAGTGCCTGATTTTCCCCAGAAAGTGCCTGATTTTCCGAGGAAAGTGCTTGATTTTCCCAAGAGGGTGCCTGATTTCCCAAAGAAAGTGCATGATTTTCTCCAGAAAGTGCATGATTTTCCTCAGAGAGTGCCAGATTTCCCCGAGAGTGCCAGATTTCCCCAGAGAGTGCCAGATTTCCCCAGAGAGTGCCAGATCTCCCCACAAGCCCTGTGTACTAAGCTACAAGTGTTAGTAGTTTTACTGATATCTTGTTTCCTGTTACAGTGTTTACAGAGGGAAACTTTGTAAATACATTTGTATAGTCCTGGATCATAATATTAGTTAGTCTAAATTATCCCCTACTTGTTTTTGTTTTTTTAAATCAAATCCAAACCTCTTGTTATGATATACGTTGGATAAACATGTTACAAAAATTCTCATTTTTTTTCTCCAAATATAAGTTCAAAATAGGGTTTCAAATCTTTTCTTCTTAAGTGTAAACACCAAAAATGTTCTTTTTGGTGTTTCACTGTCAGAAATGCTTCAAAATTTCCTCCTAGAAATATTGATGTAGTATAACTGATGCTTTTAATTCTACTATATTTTAACAAAATTAACAATATTCCTTCATTTCAAAGCCACTGGCCTCCAATCCGACACTTGTATTTTATAATCAGTTAGCATTAATATCTATAACATTTCACACTTAACTCGTTAATTTTCCTCCATACAAAACAAGGACTTCAATCACATATATTATTATTGACATGCAACCATTTAAGCTGTTAATGAAATGGGAAACTTTGTAGAGTGATATTCCCAATAAAACTAGAAAATATATTGAAGATCTTTTCAAATTTTTTTCTCAGATTTTTGTTGTTGTCATATATGAAAATATGTCTAAAGATTTTTGAATTTTATTTTTTGAATTTCTTCTTACAGTTCATTGATGAAACTGTACATAAATCATTTACATGTACATTTTCCCCTTAGGTACCCCTTATTACAAAGTTTCCCTTGCAGTACCCCTTGACCTTATGACGGACACACAAACATGCGTTTCAGGAGCACATGCTATTACCTTTTCTTTATGCTTCAAAAGTACAAAATCAAAAAAAATACGCTCTGTGTTATTATTGTGTTATTCAAAATATCCTCAACTAAAATCACATGCAATATTCCTATCAATATTTCTAATAAAATACTTCTGACAAAATTCACATTAATCAGTCACTGGTATCATTTTTTTGACACTAAATACTTTAAAAAAATATAAATGTATATATTTTTCATAGAATACTTATTCTATCCCTTCAAAACAATGTTTTTTCCAAGACAAATAAATATTGATTTTACCCTGTTTTTATGATATAAATGATCTTGCCATTTCCAAGATCAATCTTTATCTTAAACTGTGTTTTGCCTTATTCTGGCAAAATAGATAAATAGCAATTTAAAAACAAAAATATATATTTCAATACAAATGTTTTCTTTGGGGTTTTATTTATTCTAAATTTTCTTATTTTATTTTGTCTTGTATTTTTTATATTATTTAAAAATGTTTTTTTTATATTTTGTCTTTTACGGGAGACATAAGTATATTTTACCTTTTACAAAGGTGTAAACTATTTTATTATATAAAAGATTTTTTTAAGATATCACATTCTTTTTTTTAGCAAAGTGTGGTTCCTTGCCTTAAATTTTTTATATAACAAAGGGGCACTAAAATTTCTCTCTTTTATAATTTTATTGATGATTTTGTAAAAATAACTGACTTAAAAAAATAAACACTTCATTATATGCATATCATCTTGTATATAATGCTTTGAATACAAAAATGTATGGTTGAAAATAAGATAATACATTTTTATTCAAGAAATACATTTGTGTAAAAAATATTACTATAATTGTTTAAAAGAAAATAGAAAATTACAGATTTTAGTTGATGATGGTTCCAGCAGCTGCTTTCTTGATCACCAATTTCATTGACAATAAACGTATTAAAATCATTCAAAATTTCAATCAATATGTTTTTGATAATTGAACATTAACATAAAGATATTAATACTGCACTTCAAAAAAAATTGTAATGCTATGATCGATACAAATCATCAAAATTTGTAAAAAAAAAAAAATAATAATAATGTATGTAATAAAAGATAATATTTTGACACATTGTAAAAAATGATTGGCACAAAAATCAAGTCAATATTTTTGAATATTTGATTGCCGACTTCTTTGAAGGTAGAAATCAATCAATGAAATAGCCAGTCTCTTCAATGACATGTATTCCAGCTCTTTGACCACAGAATTCTACGGGCGAAACAACGCCAACTACATGTACGTAAAATGCAAAATAAAATCAGAATGAGGTTAAAATGTATGAAGCAAATTATAAAGTAGTATAAGCATTAATGTAATGAAATCAGCTGACAGAGAAATACACAACGTCCAGGTGAGAGGAGATCCATTTAAAGTAAGTAAACCATTACTGAGAATAATCAATTTGTGAAGTTTATTGTCTAACCTTTAACGAATGATGTTAGAATGCAGTCATTATTAACTCGCTGATGTAGACTTGTTAGTGAACAGGATTAGTGGAGTATGAAACACAAGGGATTTAATAGGAAGGATAGAAGTGCAGGTAAAAAGTGCAAAAACGGCAAAGTAAATAGGTGTGCCCAAACTCTAAGTTCTTACTCAAATGGGGAACAGGCATCTAATTCAACAGGAATTTTTATTTACGTCAAAAACTATCATATTCTTCATTTATAATTCATGCTCAATCGTAAAATAATTCAAAACAAACAAAGCATACAATTAATTCCTTGATATGTTGAACCTGCTTGAGACTTTAAAGTAATGTGATTTCACTTAAACACTTTTTTGGGGAAAAAACAGATAGTTGTCTAAAGTATTTTTTGCAGCATAGATTATTGTTAAAATGAAAAAAGGTCTGTCTTCAGAATATATCTGTTTAATAAAGTGTATCTTGAAAGCATAAATACTGGTTTTGTTAAATTGCAGAATATTTCATCTCCTTAGCAGCAACATTTAGAGGTACAGGATAGGACAGACATGTATGATATATTACTAGGGTTATTTATAGAAATAGATTAAACTCCTACGACAGTTAAACATCTAGGAAGCAACACTAAGCATGTGGTCAAAGAGCTAGGACCAGTGGTCACTCAAGATACAGGCTGCAGTGGTCAGTATTTCTGTATATAACACCCCAACACACAAACACACAGTCACGCTGTATATTTGTCTCTCTGGTAGAGTATATATAGAACGGCCCATTGAAGTTAGCCGAAAACTAGGCTGTTCAGAAAAATCTCCGATATTTTCTGGATTATCAGGTTTTTTCTTCCTTAGACCTATGTCGCCTTGATTTTTGTGCCTTGGAAAACGACAACTGAAAAATAGAAAGAACAAATGATCATGACTGTTGATAGAATTTTATTTTTTATTTTTTTATTTATTATTCCATTCTATTTATCTTTTATCATTGTTTTAAACTGTAAAAGTAATTATAAAAAACAATGAATTGTTAATTCCTGTGTGTTATCAATATTAAACTCATTCACCACTGAAATTTCATAATGAACTATTCCAACCTTTGAATTGGACGAGTTCAAATGTGTCTTCAGAGGTGAATGAATTAAGGAGACAAATAACTATATACACTGTGTATCTGATTCAGAAACAGTTCTTCACAAGGACGATTTCCTCAATAAATTTTAGACCCTAGCTTTTTAAGATGTAAACTAATGTAGAGTAATGGCAAGACAGAAATCTAAAATTTAGCATTTGGAGTACAAAGATATATAACTACTTAAAATTACTCTACTGAATTGCCTCCTAATACAATGTTTAGTGTAAAGTGTATCAGTAAACGTTTATTAAATTCTATTGCTACCAAAATCTATGTAAATACTCGGTAATACAAACTCATAAAATATGTGGGGGGGGGGGTTTTACGCACAGTTTATTTCAATTGAAACTTTTTAATTGAATATGTTTAAAAAAGTTAATTTCATAGTTTTTCAACTACAAATACAAACATTATCACACAAAACTATCTGGAAATTAATAAAAAATAAATAATATAAAAAACAACTTACCTGATCACGCATCCGCGCAATTTCTGACCGTCGTTTATTTAAAATATCTTCTGCATCTCGAAGCGACGAAAGTGTTTGCTTTTCGTGTTGTTCTGTTGACAGGAGTTCTGACTGTAACCGGGAAAGGCTAGAAAAGAAAGGAAAATTCAACAACTTTTTTCAATTTCCTATCAACCATTTTTTAACTACACCGACCAGGTAATAATTTGGCAGTGGCTACAGCAATACAATGAAAGGATATTTAGTTAAGTCCTGAAGATGTGTAGTACTAAAATTATTTTTGTATTTTTTTTTTTTAATAAAATATGTCTTTTGAACAAGTTCTTTTCCACATTCTAAACTCTATCAAATTACGTTAGTATGAAACTGAATGAATATTTACAGCAAAATCTAAACAAGAGGCCCATGGGCCTTAACGGTCACCTGAGTCTATAGTATTTATTTTTGTTGTTGAAATATGTACCAATTTGAGTAAAAAATAGTATAATGTTAACTTAACTTTGTCAGGACCATGAGCTGATCATTCCTAGACCAATTTTAAGTGAGATCGGCCTATTAGAACTTAGTAGCAAAATAGCGGCCATGGCAGCCAAATTGTATTTCTGATTGACCCGAAAAATAACAACACTTTGTCAGGACCATGATTCGATCATTCCTACAAAGTTTCAGTTCAATCGGCCAAGTAGATCTTTACTTTAAGTTTGAAATAGTTTTCCAAAATGGCAGCCGTGGTGGCCATATTGGATTTCTGATCGACCCGAAAAATAACAACACTTTGTCAGGACCATGAGTCAATCATTCCTACAAAGTTTCAGTTCAATCGGCCTAGCAGAACTTGACTTTAAGTTTGAAATATGTTTTCAAAATGGTGGCCGTGGCGGCCATATTGGATTTATGATTGACCTGAAAAATAACAACACTTTGTCAGGACCATGAGTCGATCATTCCTACAAACTTTAAGTTCAATCGGTCCAGCAGAACTTGACTTTAAGTTTGAAATAGGTTTTCAAAATGGCGGCCGTGGCGGCCATATTGGATTTCTGATCGACCCGAAAAATAACAACACTTTGTCAGGACCATGAGGCGATCATTCCTACCAACTTTCAGTTCAATCGGTCCAGCAGAACTTGACTTTAAGTTTGAAATAGGTTTTCAAAATGGCGGCCGTGGCGGCCATATTGGATTTCTGATCGACCCGAAAAATAACAACACTTTGTCAGGACCATGAGGCGATCATTCCTACCAACTTTCAGTTCAATCGGTCCAGCAGAACTTGACTTTAAGTTTGAAATAGGTTTTCAAAATGGCGGCCGTGGCGGCCATATTGGATTTCTGATCGACCCGAAAAATAACAACACTTTGTCAGGACCATGAGGCGATCATTCCTACCAACTTTCAGTTCAATCGGTCCAGCAGAACTTGACTTTAAGTTTGAAATAGGTTTTCAAAATGGCGGCCGTGGCGGCCATATTGGATTTCTGATCGACCCGAAAAATAACAACACTTTGTCAGGACCATGAGGCGATCATTCCTACCAACTTTCAGTTCAATCGGCCCAGCAGAACTTGACTTTAAGTTTGAAATGTAAAATGTTAACGGACGACGGACGACGGACGACGGACGACGACGGACGAAAACGGATAGCAATAGGTCACTTGAGCTAAAGCTCAGGTGACCTAAAAAGGGAATAGATTAATGGTTCTGACTGATCTCTATGAAGTAAAACTGAGAAAGTGGGACAACTTTCCGGATCCATCAGACATAGTCACTCACTTTTGGGAGGCAACTTTTGTGCGGGAGTCGAGGTCTTTGTACTCCAAATCTCTCTTAGACAGCACCTACAACATCAACCAGTCACGGAACTCAAAGAACATTAATTCGAAAAAGCAAGAAATTCGACTCATAAAATTTCGATTTATAAATGGAATATCAGTAGTGTTATATAGAAGAAAAACATTTGGACTTTGCCATAAGTTGGGCACATCATAAAAAATTGAATTTTCGAAGTTCGATTTATGGAAGTTTGACTGTTTATGTAAATTTTACAAAATGAAACATTCATTTACAGATGGAGTTGAATCTTTCCACTTTCGAAAAATTTGACCTACCTGGTTGACGTCCCGGAGTAAGCGTTCCTGTTTGCCACGTTTTCTATCCATGTCCTTGACCTCTGACCTCAAGGAGCTCAGTTGGTCTGCAGCCTTGACGAGTTCGACTCCGGCCTGATTGGCTCTTCGCTCTAGCTCCGAGGTCTCCTTGATTGTAGACTTGAGGTTGTGGTTAGCAGAGTCATATTGGTCAATAGTGTCTCTCGCCTGAAATAAACAAAAGACAGACATTTGTAATCAGATGTGTTACAAACTAGAAAAAACAATAATTCATACAACAATAGTTATCATTAACCATACTTTAATTTCTGATATAAAAAACTAAGATAAAAGAAAAGCGCTCATATTAAAGAGGGAACACCTTTGTATTGAAGTTTTCATTTCTAATCGTGACTAAGCTTCACATATATATCACTTTATGGTGATCATAAGAGATATGTTGTGTACTTAACTCATTCACTCCTTAACTTTCTTAATGAACTATTCCAGCCTTTGAATAGGAAGAGTTCAACTGTGTCTTCAGGGGTGAATGATTTAATCTCGAACTGTAAGCCAAAGGCTAACTAATACCCCCCGCTCCTATATAAACCAGAACTGTAAGCGAAAGGCTTAATATTAAGGCAAAGCAATCCAAAGTCTCCCACCAGTAACAATTTCTTTATTGACTGAGCTGTACACTTATTCAAGTATTCAGGTCACTGACATACTTCCTGTACTCTTACTGTTAGTTTTAACTCCACAACTGACCTGGTCTCTGGCCCCTTTTAGATCGGTGTTACATTGTCGCAGGAGAGCGTCTGCATCCCTTAGCTGACTACGCCTTTTAGAGAGGGTTTTCTCTATTCCTTCCACCTCATTTCTGACGAAGTGCTGACGACTTTTGACCAGGTACTCATCCAGAGATTCGTCCGAACTGTCCAGGTCGTCCATAGCATTCTTCCACATTTTCCTGTTAACGAAATTTAAAAATTGTAAGAAAATCAAAATACAACACAATCGGTTAGCCACAAACAAACCTATAGAAATATTTTCATGCTTATAACAAAATTGCATGCTTGTGAATTGGCAAAATGCCTCAAAAACATCAAACATTATAATAACAAATTTGACATATTTGAAGATTTCAGATCATCACATGACAGCTGTTGTACAGTTGTATTATAATACAATGTATCATGATAATATTATGAAGAAAGTCTTTGTAAGTTGGCACAAACTTGTGTCTCAGAAAGTTTAATCCATCTTTCTCAGTCTAAACTAAACTTAACTTAACTAAACTAACTTTGACCTGTTTGAATCAGAAGGGTATACGGTCGTTTGATAGATCCAAGATAAAGGTACCTGTTGTTATAACACATCAGGTTCAGGGTTCACTTACTTCTTCTTGTTAGACTTATGTCTGTATGCCTTGAGGAACTCTAGTTCATCTTTGGCCTCCATTTTGCCCTGTTCAAGCTGCCTCTCGTCCTTGCGAAGGTTTTTCAGCGACTTCTTCTGTTTGTCGATGGCCAGATCAAGTCCTTCCAGTTCGTCCCGCCGGTCCTCCAACTCGTTCTGTAGCCTCTTTATCAACCGGTGATCCTCATTGGCTCTAGATTCCTCCTACAGTGACCAATAAACCTTTCTGTTACATCACAACTTTGGAAGTCAACAAGTCAAGCACTGTCGACCATTACTTTGAGCAGTGCCTGTAATAATTTGTGGATTTTCCGTGATACTTTGCATACAATTTATCTCAAACAATTCAAGTCGTGCAATTCCTATAAAACCGAGATTAGCCAACTGCATTTAATGTACCCCCCCCCCAAACACACACGCACACTTGAGGTCCATCATCCTTTTTTAGTTACCCCTTCTGTCCAAATCCTGCACTCACTACTCTTTGTTCATTCATATATACTTGCCCGAGAGTTTTTTTCTGTCTTCTGATTATCAGATTTTACATAAAAACATTATACCAGGTAAATATATAATTCCTCAGCTACAGAATAATGTCTACACCTGTCTATGGAACTACCCGATAACCACAATTTAACTTCAATGGTTATCCTTCTGCATTTCATCCTAAAAAGGCCCCCTCATACGTTTTCTTCTTTTAGTGCCATGGGCACTAATAAGAAAGAACACTGTAATTTACAATGCAAAAAGTCTATCCCAAAAAATTCTATTCAAGTTCATTGAATTAAGGTCATTTCTGTCTATTATAAATCAATTTCCTCACCTGTTCTTTAAGAATACGATGTTTCAGACGTTTTAACTTTTCTTGGAGCTCGGCTATATAGTCCTCCTGAAATAGAAATCCAGACCAGCATTGAGCTTCATTCTCTGACCATCTACATATGTATAAAGCATCCTGTAGGTGTATATTTGTATGTCAAATAAATTATCAGATTATCAATGAGTATTATTATTACACGTATTCACTAATGAGCAGATTTATCTACAGATCAACCCTTTCACCACTGTAGACCAAAATGGACTCCTCCAGATCAATGCATGGTAGAGTCTACTAAAGTTACATAGGGGTGAAATTAAAGGGTTAAGTCCAAATTCACTTCTAATTTTCATGTGACTGATCAAATTCTTGATTACTATTGATTATTATTTAAGGAATGATTTTTATTTTTTCAACATTTATGAGGTCATAACAACAATGGGTTTATGGACATATTGAATGAATCGCGTTAGCGATTCATGTAAAATATGTCCAAAAACCCATTGTTGTTATGACCTCATAAATGTTGAAAAAATAAATATCATTCCTTATATTTACATTGACGAATCCTTTCAGTGGATCGATATAACAACGAATAAAACAAATAAACAGGGTTTGTTCCTGCTTATACACGGGTGCAACGCAGTGGCGAGAACAGTGTTTTTTCGCGGGGAAATGTGACACTATCGTGAGAGATCTTAGCAACCGTCAACAACAATAACACAACAAAATGTAGTTCCATATTCAATGTTTATTTGTAGCACAGGACACGTGAATACGTGGATATTTCACAAAGCACAGTTCAATAATATTTTAAGATGTAAGAATTAAGCATCTAGTTCGGTCGTTCCGAGTGAGTAGTTTTTGTAGTGTATTACTACGCAGTGTGATCAGGTTACTATCAGTTCCCACGTGCTGAGATTCTATGAACACCTGTGTTATGCATTTATGAATGTAATTTTTGTCAATGGGTCTAAGCATACAGAATGTAAATATTTTAGTGTAGTAACATTTTAAAAAAAAGTTTTTATTTATTTCAATCTTCATCTTTAATATAATTTAAGTTTGTATTTGAATCCAGGACCTGCTTTCTATTTCCACTTATACATAATTAATTGTATTATAAAGATCTACCCTTAACTACATGACTTATTCTGTTTATTTTACCAATAACATTAGCCATTCTTTAGTACTTCTGTTTACACAGTAATTTCTACTATCAATTTCAAACACATAAAATAATTATGTCAATACTTCACATCTAAGTGCGAAATAAAAATATTGACTGGGTCTCATTCAGTATCAATTACTTGGGCTATGATAATAACATTACGCCTCCATGTTAAAAAATAAAGTTTACCTTTCATTACAATACATTTCAATTCTAGACCCTTGCCATTCTACTGGCCTCCAGCGAAGCGGAATTATTAGGGTAACCTTTGAGATATGTATGTGGTTGATGTGTATATCAAAGATAACATTTAAATTTCTTTTCAAGTAACGGAAAAACAATTTTACGCCCAATGACCCCCCTGAGACCGCAAGCAATATTGACATCCACACCGTATTAGGTGGGTATATACATTTAGCCCATATGACCCCTGTGATAGTAAGTAGATATAGTCCTGGTCTAGATTTAAATGGAAGTCATTATCAGGTAATGATTTGACACCAACAGCGGGAAACTGAATGCCACATGTAAAACCCCACAATATCCCTATAGCTTATACACCTTTAACGAGTTTGGGCAGGTAAAATTAGCACAGGTAAGACACGCTGGTATTCAGGTAAGGCACCGCCAGAGCTAATACGGATAGCGGCATTGTTACAAGTGAATGACATGTATAGCGAAACGTGATAGTATTTAAACCTAATGAATTCTAATGAACATTGATCTGCTATTAACATGTTCAGATAAACACGCCAATCACTACAAGGGTTTCTTCAGCTAGGTCTAATATTAACTGCAAAATTCTTTGAAGATTAATTTGTATTTATGAAGTTTGAAAGTGCCCATTATCAGTATTGAGTCTGTGAGATTACACACACAATATTAAACTTGTCATTTACACCAAATAAAATTAAATCTGGAGATAATGAAACCTTGAATCACCAAAGGTAAGTGGGTATTTTTCAATTGAAAAAAAAAAAACTAGCCATCAATTTCTTAACTTCAAAATGACATGTTTACAAGTCTGCACCACAAGTAAGTTTACGTCAAAATGTGTTCGTATTTCTCTAACAAATAGATCTTTTTTTTTTAATTGTAACAAGATCTAAAGGAGAAGTTGTATCTGTTCAGTCATCACTGGCTCAACACAACATGGGTAAAACAGAGGAAATCGACCTTGTGGCCTCATGGAAAATAGCAAAGTCTTCTCACAATGTATCGGTCTTCATATGACGAATATGAAATAGGATTAGATATATACAGTTTTGATATTTAAACATGATTTTATGAGGGCGCAGGTGAAAGGACAAACTGACCCAGGGGCTTAAAGGTTTGTAACACTAATAATGGTGGATGAATATTTTATGGGGGGGATGAGTATTTAATGCATTAAATATTCATCCGGATGAGTATTTTATGCATAAAATATCCATCCGGATGAGTATTTCACGGGGATGGAAATTTTATAGGACACCGGTGTCCGTCATCATCAATACATCATATCATGTTACCTGTTATTTGTAGGACCAAACATCTAGATAAAAGGTTTTGATCAAAACATTCTACAACAGCCAGGTATCGGGAATTTAAAAGAGTCTGTTGGTGTTGAGAAAAACATTTTCCTCTACTTTCTGTTTAACTTTGACAAAGTACTGTATAAACAGTGACACACTTGCTATTATCTGTGTCATTTAAGGTATTAACAGAACTAATGCAAGCAGCTTTCCGAGAATTCCTTTTAAGACTTGGATTGTAATAACTGCGTTGGGGGAAGCTAGCTAGGTTAGATTGAAGAATAAAGAAATATTACTAACATCTTGTTTTTTCTCCTCCTCCTTTTTTTGTTGGTTTGTTTTTTGCCATAATGTTTTCAATAGAAATACAGAGGCCTTCAATATGCCATTTGGGCCGACAAATCCTTAATTTTTCGCTGTGCCCTATATAATTGTTAGGCGCTGCTGGGAATATATGATACATAGTATGTACCAATATTAGCCAGCTACAATCTAGTCCCGTGTACAATATTTGGTTATTGATCGTGTATTAGCACACTCTCGGCCTACACACACAATCCACAATGATCCCTCTCCACAACACCCTATAGAGATTGTCTGTAGTACTTCTGTCAATGTTTACACTAGAGAGTTATCACCGATTCACAGACCCTACTACTACAGTACATTCACCTGGTACTGAAGTGGAGGTAGACCATTGTTACTGATATATTATAAACAGATTCAGGCCCCTGGATTATACTTTTGAGTTTGAATTTTGAAGTCTTCATTTTAAAATTGTCCTTTACACACTTGAACTTGTTTAACAGGTAAATATAATGTTGAGGACAAGCTCTGCCAGTGTGAAATATATAGCACCAAAATACACAACAATTTCCAGTTGTTCACCAAACAGCTTGGTATAATAACTAAAATAAATCTGGAAATCTTCAAAAAATCTTTATCGAGGGACTGAAGTCTGTGTAAAACATATATATAGTCCTCCATATTTGTGTATCGGACAACAACAAAATACAGACAAGATACTATCTATTAACAGATATTGTCTGATCAGTCACGCTTTGAAATCATGTAAATTATACCTACTTAATTTTCTTAATCACAAATTAATCCTCCCAGATAGTTTAAGGGGGGGGGGGGGGGGTCATGGGAACCAAATCCTAACTACTGTTAATGTAATACCAAAGGAATAATGTTTCCTTTACTTACTACAAGTATGTCCAAGGTTGATTTCACATTTCCCTATAGTAATATTCTTAATGCATGCAAACAAATTTACTACTACAGTTCATTAAAAAAATTCAAATACTGTATTTTTCTCAATGGAAGAATTTTTAAAAAGTTAACAAACGAATATTTTAAATAAAAAAAATCACAGTTAAAATAAAAATCTGTTGTGCAAAATGCTAGATGTTTGACTAATATCTGATTTTATAAATAGCACAAATTGTTTAAAGTGTTATGTCTAGATCTTGAAAAATACAAGGTAGTGCACACTAAATTTGCTGTCCCTATCAAATAGTGTCCCCGGAGAATTTAGAACTTATCACGAATCCTCACAAGGCTTACAACTCTAATATTTACCATTACCTACCGTTAATACTGGCTGAGTGACCAATAAAGCGATCAGAACACCTGTGTTTACATCATACCTGTACTTAGATAATCCTATACGACAGAAAATCTTCTATTGACATGATAAAACATTATCAAAAGAAAGAAACAGGTCTATACAGAGTACCACCTGTAGTTAATCTGACAGATTACCTGTAATTACAGTTGTTTATAGCAATGATAGCTACATATATACGTAGTTTCTGTAATTACCGCTGTTTATATCAATGATAGCTACATATATACGTATTTTCTGTAATTACAGCTATTACTTGTATATATAAATAGAGATGGGTCTAAACAATATGCCTCCTATTTTTATCAACCATACTTTAATTAATACCTTTAATTGGCAAATACTGCCATCGTACAGTTTCATAAATAACTACAGGTCTTCGATGGCTTCGTTGGCCAGCTATCATCAGAACCAGAAGATTGCAAAGTCTATAACAATCCTGTACCCCATTTTTCGATTTATTTATTTTTTACACTTCAAAAGTAAAACTTGAAAACTCACCAGGTCATGATGTTCGGGCACATTGCAGAACAGGTAGCTATCATCGTCTACTCCAGCGTTGCCCTTGAGGATCCCACGGGGCTGACCGGACGCGTCCATGGTTAGGGTCCCCGCCACTGTAACATCAATGAAGGTCTCTTATACTTAAAAGAGTCTCACAATCTTAAATCCTTCAGGTTGAAAATCTGGTATATATCGAAATACCAGGTAATTCATTTCAGGTATTAGACAATTTTCTCTGGAAAACTAACTGCATCAAAAATGTCAGGTGCATGAAGTGTAAGATTGCTTACATCTCGACTGGAGTGCCGTTTAGTTGTTACCAGGTAGCTTAAAATATTACTTAAACACACAATGCTTTTATCATGTAAATATTGTTTCAAGTTGGAAAATTTCAAATACTGAACTTCTTTCGATATTAACGATGCAAATATGTTTGTGTATAAACCTTCATAAATCTTTGGTTGAATAAAGTTCTCCTGTTGTCTAAGACAAAACCATGTTTACAGGTGGTTCGATCAGTTTACCATAAGTGTACAATTATACACCAGCTTCAATTAAGCTATTTTGAATTTCATTATACAAATCAAAGAATAACCAGCCAAATGAAAAAATGCTTAATTTGCACCGTTTCAATTCAGAATTGCATTTTCATGTTACAATGTATAAGAATGTTACAATTTTGTTTGTTAAGATTGCAGATCATTTTATCTTGGGTATCTATCTCTTAGACTGTGGATGTGAATTAGTTAAACTATTTTTTATAACATGCATCCATAGTCTTTCCTGCAGTGTCGACCTGATCATAAACCAAGAAGGTAATTTACTACACAGGTTACCACACCGAAACTTTTTAGCAGTGAGCTAATCCTGCATCTGTGGTATAACTCAATTAGCACATTGATAATTGTCCTCTCCAGGTGTGTAACAATCACCACAGACAAGATCACAACAATAGGTATACACACCTAGCACAACAAATCACTCCACATGTAAGATCCGACACCGTTCCCCGACCACCTACATCCTCATTTCGTCCCAATACTCTAATACACTACACTACTACTCCGATACTAACAGATTAAGTGGTAAACGTGAACAGCTTTTCTAACCCAAGCCAAGGCTAAGGCGACATTTCACCGGTATTTAGCCAGGGTAGAGTGAACTGTGTGAATTCTATGTACCGGGTAGCACAGTACTGCTAACACTATAGGATAAGGACATAATGCTAACACCTATTCACAGGCTTCTGTTCTACACAATGTCAAACGGCAAAGTCATGTGACATAAACAAGTCCAGACAAAAATTTAAAAGTCGGCCGGTCAGGCGGGCACCCATGTAGGGTATGTTATGTACAGGTAAAATGTGACAGGTAATTAGCTAATTAGAGAGTTGGACGCAGCATTCTCAATAATGAGGACAGGTATAACGATACATGTCACAAACTTGGGAAGATTTTACGTTTCGATAAAAAGTCGAGTACCGTTCTTTTTTTAAAAATCGTACTCGACAAATACAATCTACTCCTACCCACATATCACCTGTCTCCGAGCATGTACACACAGATATCAATTAATTATACATGGACGTCCACAAAGCCATCGTGTCACCATCAATGTTCTTTAAAGTAATTGATTTGCTGTACCCCATTGTCCTGACCCAGCTTATCTGTTAAAGTCTGGTCAACATTGTAATAGCTTTAAAACAAACACTTTTTCAACAATCATACGAAAAACCTTCCCCTTTTGCAGATAAGATATATGGAAATTGATTAAAGCTCTATACTAGCTATTTCTCATAATATACAGGATAATGAATACATAATATAAACATGTTTTTGACATGAAAACTGCGGAAGCTAACAAGAAGTTGAGCGTGCAGGGACCTTTCATAACGTACACAGGTTTCTCATTAAAAAAACAAAAGCTTTCCATTTTTCATAAGCAACATTCACTACATGGAAATGGATTATTTTTACTGTTTCCTATCAGTACTGCAGAGACCGGATCAATAAACGCCCATATGAATGGATTACTTATTACTTTCTCCTCTGCTTTGATAATCACAGAGCCAGACGTTTTTGCTGAAATACTGTTTAGTCATTATAATTTTTTACATTACAACATTACAATCAAATATTCATTCCCTCATAAGAGCATAACCAGATGGGGGGGGGGGGGGGGGGTTCAGCCTCAAACTGTACAATATATAGACCTTTATAATGGCATTAAGTTCCCTTTAATAAAAACTTATTTAGAATCCCCATACCTTGAACCCTTCTCTTTAAGTCACAATACACCTGTTCTTCTATATATTTTCAAATATTTGTTTAAATAAGCTAATTTAAAGTAAAAATTGAATTTGAGGCATTCAATAAGCATTAGAGCTGTAGAAATGAACGCTTTAAGATCCAAATTGAATCTTCTGACTTTTGTTATCAATTTACTTATGAAATTCTCAAGATAAATGTCTATAAAAATGTCATCTCAAGTCAAATAATATGGGATGAAGTACGACTAATATCCCATATTTATACAGATAAACCTGCCTACAAGTTAGATAAAAGATTTCATTGAAATGATCCAACACAAATACCGCTAAGTTGTAAATCTATTCAGGTGGGTGTCTGGGATGTACCGATACACAGTATAGAAAATCATTAGTGGGACAAAATGTCGTCTAATAGGTGTCCTATACAGGACAGACCATTTAAATATTTTTTTGGGTTTTATTCGTCCCTGTAATATAATCCAGTCAGCCCTGAGCTTAGGTCTGCTAATTATACTTGAGCTTAAGTCTGCTAATTATACCAGTATGACGAGCACCTCATTTAATAGGTTTTATTCCTGGGCACAGTTCAACACGCGTTACAGGTTTAAACGTGTAACTGATATAGCTTACTTTTAACACGGGTGTTAAACCTGCAGGAAAATTCTGCAGACAATACCCATTTAAGAAGAAGAGGAAGCTATTTTATTTTTGTATTCCACTCCAATAGTCTGCACTACAGAACAATCTCTGGTAAACTAGACATTGATATTCTGACAACATTTACACATCAGAAGAAACATATCAAAGATACAGGCATGTTTCATATCTACCGATATTGCTCCAATACTCAATTTTAAAGGGATCGTATAGTAAACATGCCATTCGGATTGATGTGTCTCGCCTGTGCTTCACTTTGACCATCAATGCACATGTCAGGTTTGGTTGGTGTAGCACTTATAGTTTCTGTGAAACTAACTTAAACGCAAAAACTTAATGTTGATGGAGATGCTGACAAAGTCAATAGACTATGAAAGGTAGGCCGCATCCAGCATTTGATGCATGGGTTGAAATGTACTACCTAAGATGCATCTATGGTGCGAGTTTAGTTGGTCTGGCACTTATAGTTTCACAGAAACGAACTTAAACGCAAAAACTTAATGTTGATAAGGATGCTGACAAAGTCAATGGACCATGAAAGGTAGGCCACATCCAACATTATTGATGCATGGGTTGAGATGTACTACCTTAGATGCATCTATGGTGCAAGCTTGGTTGTTCTAGCACTTATAATTTCAGTGAAGCTAGCTTAAACGCAAAAAATTGTGGCAGCAAGACAAAACCATTCCTCATACACTCCTCACATGAATGACAATTTTGATGGCTATAGATGGCTAGTTACTGTAGAATAATTTTCTCCAATGCTGCACTTTCAAGTGAGTCTGGCAAATTTTACGATACAATCTCAATGTAATGTCTATCCTTCACTGGCCACCTCACTTATATCCATGTTTTCTGAAGGTACTTTTACATAAGAGTTTGTTTTCAAGTCTTGAACGACATACTGTCAAATCCTGTATAAACGTAAGAATAACTTGGTCTACCAGTAGTTAAATGTACTTACGTATTGGACTGGGTGGTGCACTGAGCGAAGCGTTGACTCGGGAGTGTTTCACTGGCGTTCCTGTAGCCATGGGAGTCACAGGAAGGAAACTCACTTTGGGCCCGGGGGACCCTGGCGTAAACTGCATCACTGCTGGAGGAGGGGGTGGTGGAGGTGGTGGAGGGGCACCCCCACCCCCAGGGCCACCCATAGGAATTCTCCCACCCTGGGGATAGTAGATGCGGCCTCCAGGGCGATCTGTGGAAGTGGAGTAAGCAGGTAAGAACACTCTTCCACTGTTGTAGGGTACGTTTTGTGCAGGTGTAGCTGCCACCGGTATGTAAGTCTGTGTTTCTGCATTATACGGGGGAGCCATTGCTACTAAGGGGGCGCCGCTTGTCTGAGTCGAGGCATATCCAGGTGTTTGGGTTCCAGCTCCTCCACTCTGGAGGATTGGATTTGTGGTAAGACCCCGTATATGGCGCTGTCCTGATGGTTGCACCCCCCAGGAACTAGCTCCTGGGTCAAGCTGTACACCTCGCCCTGGGAATGGTGCCTGATACCCATCCATTATCGGAGCACCTACAGGGTTTGACTGACCTGCCATAGGAAAGTTCTGGCCATGAACCCCTGGCATGGGGGCACCCACTGGGACTCCACCTCCAGATGGGAAATACTGGCCTGATGTTCCTGGCATTGGTGCACCAGTGGGGACACCACTGGGGGCACTACTTGGCATGTTGGGGGCAGCATATCCTCCCTGTACTGGGCGATACACCTGGGGGCGCTGCACAGGTTCAAATGCTGTTTTGGGGGCTGTGGAAGACGTGTGTTGCCGACGCCGGTCTTTATCATGACTGCGGCCGCTGCGGCCCTTAGTACTGCCATGGCTACGCTGACTTCTGTGGCTTCTCTGGCTCATTCTGTCATCATCACCTGGGAACAAACAGTTAATGAAGGTCACATTTACAAAGTCTTTCTGTCATATTTTTAATAGCATAGCAAACTGTTGAAAATCCTATTTGCCAACAAATGTAAGAGGAATTGTTCCAAAAGCTGTACTTTTTACATTTATCTATCAATCATTTCTGACATCCAGTTTAAAAATAAAACTTCCAATATATAGATGAAATAAATTTCAAACTAATTAAAATAATGTACCCAGTGCAATCCAGTATTGGAAGTAATCATTTGCCACTGTGATTAGTGACATTCATCTTTTCCCCCTCAGACTACCTTTCAATATATTTCTGTTCATGATGTTTGTATGAATTATTCAATTCATAATAACAAAATTTTGCATTTTTAACTACGGTAAAAATAAATTCTAACAATGAACAAAGGGAAACAACTCTACTTATGATAAATTATTTTTAAAGTTCTTTCAATATTTGAAAAATTCCATACCTACATTTTTTTCATCTTGGAAATAGAAATTTTATAAGGGAAATCTAACCATATTTTTTGAAATAACAATCTGTATGTGTATCTTTTTCACATTGTAGATGAGTACATTGCACATCAAATATGTACATCCTAACTTTCTCCTTTAAGAAACATGAAATGTTATCATTAAACATTACCTCTCTCTCTGTCCCTGCGAGACCGGTGACCTTGGCGTGCGTCCTCTGAGCGTGGCCGGTGACCGCTGCCCCTTGCTGAGGATACCCGAGTCTGCGGGGGGTCACTGGCGTAGCCTGAATGTACCCCTGGAGCTGCACCTGGAGCTGCACCTGCTGCAGGCATGTAGGCTGTGGGCTGTGAGTAGGCTGTTCCCTGTGGAAAAAATCACATAAACTTCTAATACAGCTTCTAGTCATCTGAATAGTTCACCAAGATTCAATGCCAATCAAAAAAATAAAATTTAAAGTAAAAAAACTACTACAAGATTTAGAATGACAAAAACATTGATTGTAACTTAAACTTAAAATTCCATTTTTATTTTTTTTATTTTTTTTTGTAATAATTTGCGAGGAATGTCAATCACAAATTCTGATACTTAATTCACGAATATTTATTCAACTTTATTCAAATAGAGTATATAAATCTGTCACGGTTCCTTCTAGGAATTTGTAAGTGTAAATAAACTGTTGTAAACACAATAATTGAAGACAATTCTCTTAACTTTGCTTACCAGATTAGGTCTATGTGGAGAGGCTGGCATCATTGAGACGGGTACCCCAGGCTGTGTACCAAGGTTTAGTCGCGGTACTGGACCACCTGTCTGGCTAGCATAAACATTCTGTAACAACAAAACAGATAATAATGGAAATACAGAAAATCATGGAAATACAATGTACATGTAGGCAACCGCCCTCCTGGGGGCATTTTCATACTTTTTTTTTTACTTTTTTTTACTTTTTAACCTGTAACTGACTAGAACTGCTTTTTCTCATAAAATGATCTCGGATGCTTTTTGTAACACAGAATTTGATTACTTTTCAGTGAAATTACTGTTTAGTAATTTTAACATCTCATTCTTCAAGAAATTTTTTGAGAACAAAATGTTCCGATAACTAATGTTACCTTACAAGGGATAGTCAAAACCTCCATATTTAAAATCTATCGGAGTACTTGTCTACTGTAAACATACCTGATTAAAGCCAGTATCTGGTTGGATGTCTGTCTGAGCCTGTGTCCCGGCCGAACTCAGGGGGTTTGGCATTGTCTGTATGTAGGCAGACTGCATGGCAAGAGTTTCTTTAAGGCGATTCACTTCCTGGCGTAATTTCCAGAGACCGTCATCAAAACCGGGATTGACTAGTAAGTATAGACAAGGCTTGACTTTTACCAGATATGACAATTTTAACTCAGAAATGGTTGATTACAATTTGTTTTACCAAGGATAAACCCTTGCTCAGCATATAAACCTACCTAGCCCTTTGTGGGTTTTTTTAAATCAGGATCTTTCTATGGTAGCTGAATTCAGGAACGAACCCAGAAAAAAGGTTCCTGGGCTTTTTACAGGTAACACAACAAAGGATTGAAAGGCAGCTAGTACATGGATAACCCTTTAATTTGATTTCTCGATTTTTGAAATTGTGAATGAAATATCAAAGGAACTTTCACAAGTTTTTTCCCTCTAAATTGTTGAGTTGTCTGTCCCAGAGAAAATCAAGAAAATATAAATTAGTTTTCCATTTCATTTATGGCTACTACTAAAATCTAGTCCAGACTTCATTCCCTCCTACCATGCTACTGTTGAGGCCCTCTGTTCGTTGAGTCATTGATAGAGGAAAATTTGATTTGTTGATGATCTATGGAGATGACTCAACAAGTGTATACAGACGATGTCAGACTTGTGAAAATTGATTAGACATTTCCTTCCCAATCTCAAAAACTGGGAAACAGAATAATGTCAGATAGGCTATAAATAATCAATTAGAAAATCATACACCAGGATTTTTCTTTCGATATCTCACCGCCAACACCTCTTATTCAGGACTCGATCTAGTATATCAAGGGGGTCTCTGTGAAAAGTTTACCTGGTCCACGGGGGCTGCTGTACAGCTCGTCTAACATGCCGTTCAGGTGCTCAATCTCGTCCCTCTGGGCGTCCAGTATCTCATACAGACGTGCCAGCTCATCTTCTTGGGCGGCTGTGAAACAAGGCAGTTGATCAGTAAATATCAGTATAGACAACCTGCTTCTGCTCAGGAAAATAAAAGTATGAAATTCTGTCATCTCTGTCTATAGGGTTAAAATATCATTAATTAAATCCTTTTATAACAAATCCTCAGAAAGTTAAATTACCTCACTCACAATTGATTTTCAACTTACATTTTGATTATTTAAACTCATATCATACAAATTGAAGTTAAATATACATGTGTTTAAAAATATATAACAAACCATATGGTATGATATACAAACACTATCCAAACACACAACATTTTCTAGTGCAGATTCACCAGGGACCCAAGGTGCATAACGTTAACTTCACTTATACAAATGTACCAGTAAACAGAGTCTGTCACCTTATTACCTTAAATTTTACATGTACTACAAACAAATCAAACCTGTGATCCTGTGTGCAAATCTCAGTCATGGGGATTTAGAGGGGGAACAGGGATCACAAACTGTATACATTTACATGTGTTATCATTATGTGTACTCACACACTTACAACCATTTCACAATTTTATACCTATATCTAGGCATCTAACAATTGGTTTTTGTTTTGCTGTACATCACTTCAACAATTAAGTAATTTCGGGTCAATTAACGTAACGTGTCATCTTGTACATTAATTGTTGTAACATTAACAATACGTCATTTAACATCAAAGAAAATAATGCTGAAAACTTAAATGTTCAATGTATTACTCTTACATTTTTCTAATCTAATCATGCTATTAAAAGCGATTATCTACTTCTTTATTATCTGAATAACTAATTTTACAAAACAATTTAATAAGTTTGTCCATTTCATGATAAGAACATTTGGAATTAACTATCAAATACATGTAGCTAATATGGTACATGTTTTTGAAACAAACTCACAAGGATTAAGGTTCGTACAACACCTTTATAATAGCCAAAAGTCCCAACTAACACTTTATCAAAACGATAACACAAGTGGGCTTAACTTTTGATTTTATTTTGTCAGACTGCAAATATAGTGAAAATAACATTTTCACAAACAATTAGTGCTACAGAGTATATATGTGTGCATTTTTTTATGTTTTAATCAGAGTTGAGGTATATTTAAGTTAGAGGGTGACATTCCTGTATATATGGGGGTAGGTAATTAGGATATTTGGTTAATTGTGCAGCGTTGTTGGTGGGTGATGGTCTGATCAGACACGGGGTGTAGCTCTTACCTGACTTGGCATGGAAACCCTCTACAGGGTACAAACAGGGTATATATACATACAAGGCTAATTTATCAAACCTAACGCCTCTGATCACTATTCAAGCCTTAAACTGTCTGGTAAATCTAGTACCCAATATTTTGGTTCCACTATTAGTTATTTTTTACCAAAAAATGAAATGTTATTTCCCTGAAATATTAGTATTGTGTCTGTCTATATATCTAACTGTCTGTCTAAAATATGACATATCAGCTATATAATTCAAGACTGAGGTTGAAAAACGTTCACAAGACAAATAAACATTTTCTAACGGGTTTATTGGATTGTACATGGGAATATCTAATTTACCTTTCCATTTTGGATAATCCTCTGTAATAACCAAGGCAGTACTATTCCATGTAGAATTTATATTAATTTAAATGATAATGATCGATAATCGTGACAAAAAAGCCTTTACTTTAGAACAAACTAATAGCGACCTGTTCTGAACCTAATGCTATAAGTACACTTATAAATATCAAAAATACATTAACAAATATTAAAGATGTAACTTGGGACAATTAAGAGTTGTTCGATAAAACATGAGTCTGGAATTACAACTGGTGGTCTTATAAATTTTCAGGATGGTTTTCACCAAAGTTTGTTAGGCCTGTCATAATGTTTTGCAATATTTGGTCTTTCTATGGAAAAAAAAGTTGTTAAAGGTAGACAAAGCATATACATTAAAGAGCCGAAGATTTACTGTCAAGGGAGATAACTGGTACTTACTCATCATGTGGTTTGACATATCAGTGGTTTGTACTTCGTTTACCAGCTGTTTATCTCTCTCGTCGAGACACTGTCTCAGCTGGTTCGCAACAACCTGAGCCTGCTCCAAGTCCTGTCCTATCACTTGCATGCGTGCCTCCTGTTTTTCCTGCCGTTCCACAAACAAACACCATGAGCTTTGATATAAATAACCGACCTCTTGTCTGTACCAACTTAACCTATATAGACATTTGGATTTTCAATATAAATCATACTTATACAAAGGAAAACAATGCAACTGTGAGAAAAGCAACACCGTAGAAATACAAAAAGACATTACCTCATGTATTTGGAGCTTAATGCAGAGAGTTGAGATTTGTCATACATATATGGCAAAATGGAAATCTGGAAAAGAACTTTGCTGGAAATTTACTATTTTGGTCAATATTTCATAGATGTTTTTTGATGTCTTCAGTGGCAGATTTTAGATAATTGAGAGTACCTTCTGGTCCTCCAGTTCATCCCGAGTAAATGCGAGCTCTTTCTCATACTCCTTCTCCTGGTCCCTCAGTGCCTGTTCCATGATGGCCGCCTCAGACTCAATGTCTACCATCTAATAAACCATCAATCAAATCACTATCCTTTATTTCAAAAACACGAACATTCAAAGGACTTAATTTTTTCATTGTTTTATGTTTTCAAACAATTTTTTTCACAGTCTGAATTATATATGTTTATCAGACAATTGATTTTCTAATATTTGCAGTTCCAAATGAAGTCGATTGATTTTCATCATGCTCCTATCAGGTCCCATATTGTTAAAATAAACATCAAACCTATAACCTCTAGGTTTAACCACCTTTCTAAAGTTGAAAAAGTGTTGACATAGCAAATTTCAGTCCTTTTTTTCTCTTTCTTTACCATATTCACAAAAAACGATAGCTTAATTTCATCTGGAATTTGGTTGAATTCCAGCCTCAAATATAAAGGCCAGAAAAAGTTGTTTAATCTTTAAAGAATTTGCTCACCTTGCGTGCGTTTTCCTCCTCCTTGTTTCTCATGTTACGTCGTAATTCTAGTAGCTCTCTCTGCAGCTCATCGAACAATGCCTTCTCCTCGGAGTTCATGGAGCTTCGGTCCGACTCAGATTCCGGGCGGTACACAATCTTAGTGACGGGACGACCTTGAGCTGCCCGTTCCATCGTGTCCTTCAGCTTGGCCTTCAGTCTCTGTAACTCATTCTGCATCCTCTTCATCTCGTCCTCATTGGCCTTCCTCTCTGCCTGGATCTACAAAGGTCAAGGTCACTACTGTTTCACGATACCCAAATATCACTTACACAGGAATATATTTTCTCAAGTGAGGTTTTGTTTGTTCAAAAACACATAGCATACCTCTACAACCAGGTTTGAATTTAATCATGTTTTCAATCTTATTGTCAACAAAAGAAGGAAGCAAAAGGTTAACCAGTACAATATTTTATTTTATATATGAAATTCAAAACCTGATTCATCCCGGCACACAAGAGAGATGATCACAATCCAACATGATTAATACTTTATTATCACATATACAATGTATTGAGAAAACTGACAACCATTTTACCTTTTTAAGAAACACTTAAGAAAAAATATCAAATCATTTCCAAGATAATTTCACTGATCATCTTCTTTATTTGCCAATTTTTTACATCTGAAATATAACTTCACTGACCACCTACCTTATTGTCCTTGTCTTTGTTTTTGTCGTCACGTTTTAATAACCTGTTTTCTGCCTTTGTAAGGCTTTCCTTTAATGCCTGTATTTCTGCATCAGCCTGTAAAACAAGTTATTTTTAAAGTCAATGCACCAATCATTAGTTTATTTCACTGTTAAAGCGCTTGGACTCCGGAAATACACGTTTCATATGGAAATCATATTTTTCCTAACCTGAATATAAGGGAAACAGACATCCTCAATGTACTGAAAGATGGACAGTTAATGTAAGACCTCGGGTACAGACACAATAACTTACATATCGTTGTTTTTATTCATTATATTCTTGCTGAATACATTTTGCACATGATTCAATTTTTGCATTTCTAAATTGATAAATATATATATATATATATCCTTATACACTTATACAACGTACTTTTTTTTTTTTTTCATTTTTTCAAAAAAAATTTTTCATTTTTTACAAGACAAAACATATATGACATTGTTCATAAGTACATGATTGTTAATACATATTAAACAAAGATCATCATCATCATCTGACATCATCATCATCAGACATCATCATCATCATCATATAAGATACAACGTACTTGGCTAGTCTTCTTCTTAGCATCACCCGCTTCCCTGAAACTCTTGTTGACTTTGTCCGACATGAAATGCTGGAGGTCTTTGAAGGTTTTACCCAGGTAGTCTCTGTCATCCTGAGGCTCAACATTTGTCTGTAACAAATGATTGCCTTGGTGTTGTAAGTACTTTAATAACAAAACAATGTGTTGCAAAACAAAATTCATTTTCATACAAATCTGTCCTTTGCATCTTGGATGGGGGTGGGGGGTTGGGTATAAAGTTGATGGTCATGTAAGGGAGGAGATGATATAATGTGAATAATATAATGTCAAAATGAGCAATGACAATCTTACCTTTCCAGTTTTTACACTGTGTGACAAATCTTTAAGCCTCTTTCTGATCTCATTATGTGGCATTGTTTCTCGCACTCGAGACTGTCGTTCGCCTTCCAATTGTTCCTTATACGATAGATTCTGGGCCTACAATTTCCAATGTACAAAAGATGATGGAATTGGTATAATCATTGTTAAGTACATAGTTCAATAATTATTATCTTTTATATCATTCTCTCTGTAGCTAATTGCCAATGGATACGTGCAATAGTATTGATGAATTTTCAAAAAATTTATCAAGACACACCAAATGCTTAATTCAAAAGTTTTGGAAATTATCAAACTAGCAGGAAATTTGGCAAATACTGAATCAAACCCTGCGGGGAAAATGTACACATAAATCACCATAACAAAAGATATTCCTGTCTGTGTTGATATACAAGTCTATATGCAATGTGCATTTGGTAATAAATTGAATTGAAAAATGATGGTCTCCTCAATAACCTGTTTATTTCCCAGGTACGCCTTCTTTAATTTACTTGTGACCAAGAATCTACTGTAAACATTCTTGATTTAGAACACTCAAATTTAAGCACATCATCAAATTTTCACTGATTCATGTTTTCATCATATTGGTGCACCAAAAAATGCAATAAAAAGATTACATAGAGAAACTGCAATAAACGTTATTACAATTTAGCGCAATATTTCAAACACTGATACAAGATAAATGAATACCGCTTAAATATGTCTGTTTACAGTGTGTGTAGCATTGCTTACCTTGATGGCCTCTAACTGGTGTTGTAGTCGCCTGTTTTCCTCGTCCACAGCTGACGCCTGGCTTGCCTGATGCAGGGCTTTTGTAGCACGCTCCTTTTCTATCTTCAACTGTGATTCGACTGCCTGTTTGTCATACTGAAACAGTCATGATCACGAGGTGTCAGATTTTCATTGGAAACCGATTGTATACAATGTATAATTATCTCTGTACATGGCACATAAATAACAACAAAATTAAAGAACTACAAGGAAACTAGCTACCAGAGTCCGTATTCATGAAACCATTCTCATGCGCAAATTGAGATTTTGTGCTCAAGCCCAGTTTCCTGTCCTGGTGCTAAAGTAATTAATATTGGCATTTTGTTAATGATTTGGAGGATTTTTGGAGAGACCTGTTGCTGAATACCGTTTTCGATATCTAGACTCGACTTGTTGACAGTATCGTAAGATTGATGCAAGGCACAAGAAAGTTGGTTCCAGCACAGAACATATGCTTGAGCATGAGAACGGTTTCATGAATACAGACCCAGAAGTCTTACTTGTTTTACTTGTATTGCCTGAATCTTGACCTTGACATCCACTGCATGACCTATCCTTACAATTCTACCTCTTATCCACTGATTGCCAGCAGGCTTGTGGACACTCTTAATTCATTCACCCCTGAAATTTCATAATGAACTATTCCAACCTTTGAATTGGAAGGGTTCAAATGTGTCTTCAGGGGTGAATGAGTTAATAATCCTACTACTTACCTTACTCTATATGTCTACTGACATCGACTTTGACCTTTAGCTCACCTGTGACTTCCTTCCAGCCTCTTTCAATGCACGCTTGAGATCTAGGACTTCAGCGGAGGTGTTTTCCATATGGTCCTGGTATTCAACGTCCTTGGCGAGAGTCTTGTGTAACTTATCCTCCAGTGTCTTGTTGAAGTTCTGAGTGTCACTCAGGTTTTGTTCCATCTCCATTAGCCGCTGTGAACATTACACACAACTCCGGTTTGTTACCGCTACTTAAATGTTTTCTTTTTCCTTATTTATAAATAGTCAAACTCCAGTTTTTCTGGAAAACTCATTATCTACACACCTTTCTTTGTAACAATTCCCTTGATGTCAGAATCATTCTAAATATATTGAGTGGAAAGTGCATTTGTGCTTGTCTGTCTGTCCATCCACCAATAACATAGTGCAACCAGTCATTTGACAGGCATGTATATTAAACAAAATGATACCTACAAATATCCTATCATTTCTTTGGCAACCATCATTTAATCTTTTACAATAATTAAATCTTAACAAATATATTTCTTATAGATCTGTGATAAGCTTATCGTTACAACCAAAATGAGTCTAAGTAACACAAAATAAGAAATAGTTTTACGGATAAACATTTACCTGTTCCATAGCCTTATAGTTCCCAGCCTCCGCATCCATAACACTAAGCTCCTGTTCCAGTTGCGACACCTTATTTTCAAGTTGTGACTTTTCTCCCAGAATTGAGTCAAAGTCACGCTGGCGACGGACACCCTGCTGTTTCACATTGGACAGGTAGCCTTGGAGACCGCCGACAATCTCGTCTAGCTCGGTACGCAGTGACTCGTTGGCATCTATGTGATCTGGATATCATCAAGAGTATTACGTTTCATTAAGATATTCTATATTTTCATATCAAAAGGCTATTGAATTTGACATACATTATAAAAAGTAACCCGCTTATATATTTACAATTTTTACAATTTTTTATCAATTGTTTTAACTGAATATGTTATTAGGTCATTTCCTAAGATCAAGTATCTCAATATATATATATATAAATGGCACCATGTATCGACAAAAATAAGAGAAATAATAGAGGACAACAATTGATTGTAACCTTACCATCATTAAGCTGCAGTTCCAGTTTCTTGATGTCAGCTGTTTCCTTAGCGATGGTGTCCAGCATGACCTCTAGTTGTTGTTGTAGCTGTCCATACATCTGGTTACTCTCACTGATCTGCTGTTCCTTGTCCACCATCTCAGCGTACACCTTCCTCTGTTGTCATACAAATACACACATTACATACATCTCAGCATACACCTTCCTCTGTTGTCATACAAATACACACATTACTCACATCTCAGCATACACCTTCCTCTGTTGTCATACAAATACACACATTACACACATCTCAGCATACACCTTCCTCTGTTGTCATACAAACACACACAAACATTAGGATAACATGGGTAAATACAAACAAAACAATTAATACATTACATTATAATTACATAAGGACAGCACTAGCAAAATACAAATACGATTGTTGTATATGAAATTCAACTCTTGCTAACAAGTTCTGGACACAAAAATGCAAAAACTTACACCAATGAACTAAAACTATACAGTATTAGGTCAAACAAAATCATCAGAAATTAAAGTCAAATAAAAGAAAATTGACAAAAATATAGCAAATACAGGATATGATTGGAAAAAGTCAAATTCTCTCTGCTGTGGACATGAGGTAAAACTAGCATTAGCGTTAACATCAGAACAGAAAACCTATAACTGCTCAAAACTTGCCAAAATAACAATGCAAACCGCAACATAGCAAAGGTGTAATTTTCATTTTTTTTCATCTCTGTCTTACTACAGTTACGCGATTTTTCCATGTTTATATCAATTATTTGATATGGTGCTCCAGACACCCTCAATTAATACCAGAGAAAGTGCTATCAGTACTTACGTATTTTGGATCATTGCTGTCCAGGCGGTCAAGCTGACCCTTGAGTCTAGCTACATCCACCTTGCTGTTGTGCATACTGTTCACTGTCTTATCTATCTCCTCCTCTATCTGGGTGGCACTGTCCTTCAGGTCGTTCACCTGTAATCAAATCATACGTCTGGTCAAATAGGTCCAATTCTCACCTCAAATCATACGTCTGGTCAAATAGGTCCAATTCTCACCTCAAATCTTATGGATAAAATATGTCCCTCTCTCGGCTCAAATCTTAGGGATATGATTTGTCCCACTCTTAGCTTTTCCTAGGTATAAAATGTGTCCCATTCTTTGCTCAAACCATAATGATAAAACATGTCCCACTCTCAGCTCAAATCATAGCGATAAAAGATGTACCTCTCTCGGCTCAGATTGAAGGTGAAAACTGTTACAACTGTGGGTCGAAGGCAACTATAAGGTTAATGTATGATGGTAGGCTGCAGGCTAACCAATACACCACCACCCCCCACCCCTACTCTCGCACTGTCTTAAAACTTACTTTTGGTTGTAAAATTTCCATACGTAAACCATAAAAAGGAGGATTACGTTTATAATTTGCATATTCAAACCCAATCAGTCCCGAAATGGAGCAATAAAAACGTGTCAGTAAAAACATGTAACTGATGGAGGTGTAGAACTCTTAGAGTACATATGTCTAAACAGAAAAACAGTTGTACATGCCAAGCCTTCGTTGTTGTAGTAGTACCATAAAACTTTTAACACTATAGCTAGACAATATGCTTCTACAGACAGATAAACTCATTCTAGAACTCACTCCCCCAAACTTTGTAGTGGGGCTGACCAATGTGTACTAACGACAACACAATGTATTCAGGATTTACCGTCATTGCTTCTGTCATCCAAATGTCTTATGGTCTGAAACTGCCTTGAAATTGTAGAAAATTTGCACATTTGCCTATTTATAGAACTGATTCTCCCATAACTTAATTTTAACCTGTCTCGGGCATAAATACAAATAATGCCAGGGTCCTTCAAAGAGCAGCTCTATTAGTTAAGTTACAACACAGCTCTGATCCATGTTTTACAGTACGACTTACCTTTGATATACAAAAGTCATACACAGGAAAACCACTCGCTGTAGAAGGAACATGCAAGGACATGGCTACAACTATTGTGCAGACATTGCCTTGGTGAGTTCTTACAAAATTTACATGTAAATATCCATGAAGTACATTCACAAACACAGCAGTATACCTCCCTGTAGATAATATTGGACTAGTCCATGTACCAAAATAATAAAAATTCTATTATACTTAGAGGGGAGTGGGGATGTGATAATGGTCAGTGTTATAAATGAAATAAACACCATAAACTGTAGACCGAGTCAACTTCACAGAGAGTCATAAATCTCCACTGATCAGCAGGACAACAAAGGGAGATAACCAGTTAATATCAGATCATGATTACAGTCAGGCAGTAAATGATTACTGTTGATCCTAATAATGAAGTATTTATGTTAACAGAGACAATTAATACTGTAGATATGATAACAGCCATAAAACAGTAAAACAAAGATACGGAGACAACCATCATACAACAACAATAGTTTAACAGACAACTGTTATATAATAAACCATAGACAATTGTTATACACTTATCAATTATGGACCTTTTTTTGAGGTGAGTATGTTGTTATATGCACCTAAAAGTGATATTGACCAACTGAGGTTAATATCATTTTCAGATCCATGTAACATGTATCGTAGACACTGCTATATGTTTAAATCTAACTGTAAGTTAACTGTGAGTGTAATACAAGACCACTTACCAGTTGCATTTTCTTGGCCATTCTTTGGCGTAGCTGCACCTTGACGTCATCCTTCTCTGTAATGTCACCCATACGCTTGAGGTCCTTTGTTGCCTGAAGCAGCTTCCTCTCTGTCCCCATCAAGTCATCCGTGAGGCGTTTCAGGCGGTCCTCCGCTATAAATCAGGTAGGGAACATGTCAGAATGGTCTTAGCACAAGTGATCTTGTATCCTGCTTGGAGTTTGACATTTGCAAATCTGTATCCAAGTCCACTAATTAGAATTAAACACTCCTTTAATATAAGACAGAAATATACACCATATTGAAAATGATACCCGGTTAATTCTCGTCTAATTTTTAAGTTGAAACCTAGCAAAAACTTCACAGGTAATTCAATTATAGGTAGCTATGCATGTTACATTAAGATGTTTGTGATTCTTAATGACAAATTGCTGTACGATGTCAAATAAATTACTAACAATGTATATGATTTTTCAGATCCATCTTTGGATCTTTATCAAAATCTAAAACCTAAAATTTTGAAAAACAAATAAGGATTCTAATTCATATGAGATGTAACAAAGCATTTGATTAGTAAATCGAAATAGTCTGCAATGGCATGGTATAACCATGTTATACCATCGACAAATTTTTACTTCGTAGGAAGCCTGGATCGCGATTGTTGATGACCCTGACACATCATAAAATTAACTATTAATGACGTAATGAACAATAGGTTGACCCTGAAAGGTCAATGCGGTTCCGCCTCACTTTGAATATTCCTGACGTCACCAATCCACGGCAGAAAGACACATATTTTAAAGAAAACAAACAAACAAGAACATCTTGATTTTGTCGTTTCTCGTGGAGATTTTTGCTTGTATGAATTAGAAACGGGAAAACCCTGCTGTATTTTGAGGTTTGCATCGGTATATCGTGTCACAAATATCTGTTTTACAGTAAAACTCGACTTTGCGCCAGTAGAATCATGATATACAGCTGCAAATCTCAAAACACAGTGGACTTATCCCCAGTGTATAATACGTAATTACTTTTGTGTGAGGTATTTTCAATTGCAAGCAGAGTTCAATGGTAGTCACAGACTAATGGTATGACGTCGACATAATGGTGAGTTAAAACCTACATTTAAAACTCTATCTAACAAAAAAGCTATATACCTTGTGCAATGGAACTTTAAAATACTAGGAATCGAATACAATGCTGCTAGCTCAACAGATAGCAATGGAAAGCTACTTTATTTCTGTAAACTGAAATTCCATTATTCAACTGAACAGAAATGTTCATGTAGCATTGTTCTGCGACACTAAACAGTTAACTTTAAAAAAAAAAAAAAAAAGCCTGTATCTTATCCATGGTAATAACATCAAATAACTTCAAATAAATGACAGCTTTTCAAAAATGGACAGTACATCATACAAATTTGTTTTCCTACAACCATAAAATCACAGCATGAGGGATAAATAAATTCAGCTGAATAAATTCATTAAGCAGAAATGAAACCTGTTGATAGAAAAAGTCCTATTACCATGAAGGTTAAAAATGATATCACAGTTATGATATAATGAAATATCACTTAGTATTCAGGAGGGTTTATCACTCAGAAATGACTGGAGTGAACAACTTCACTATCAAGCGTCTAATTTATCTACAATGTGTCGAGCTAAATATATATTTTACAGTGTTGGCCTATTTATGTTGGTCACATGATCAGTCTTAATACCTACAGTAACACCTAACTATGTGGCCTGCCAAGAGAAAATCTTGACCTTATAAAGGGGGCTGGCAGTATATGGAGGGAAACATACAGGACTACATTTGATAAAAAATAACAGAAAAAACAGCTGTTGTGAAATGATATGGCAGTAAGGGAGGAGGCAAATGAAATGATAAGCATTATAGCAAAGATTTTAGTGTACTGCTGAACAAATTAAAATGATAACTACATGACATTGTCTGTATTATTATAAAACCTATATAACTCAAAGTAAGCCTTCTACAAAGTGAGATATGCAGTTCTGTCGACCTTCCGCAACAGATGGTCAATTAAAACAATCTTAATACCATTAATTAAATCAACTTTTCTCCTTTTTTCTCTACTTAATGACTTAAAGATTTTCTGAAATTCTTTTTTTTTTGAAAGTATTTACCAGGATATGAAAAGGACTTCAGGAAATGAAAATGTTATCTGATTGCAGCAAATATTGACAAAAAAGTATCATTGTTTCTTTTTTCTTCTTTTTTAGGATGAAAAGTATTATTGGGATCAGGACATATTTCAGCCCAAAAGATACAGGCAGGAAAAACCCTGTGTGATACAAACAATCTGTAAACTGACATACTATAACTACATAGCAATGTGTAATAAGTCAGCAAAATAGAAAACAACCAGCAACCCACTCAGACAAAGTTGGAACTTCAGCCCAACAAGAAGAAATGTCAAGGAGACACCGAAGCAAAAGGAAAGAGAACATAAACCTCTACAAAAATAAATATTGACAACAAAATAGCGATTCCTGCGCCACATGTGGTTCCCATCATAATGTCTGCAGTCAAATCAGTCACATGTGGTTCCCATCCTGCAGTCAAATCCAGGAAAGGTGCCACACGAATGACTAGTGAACATTGACCTAGCTATGAAGCTTCTACACCTAAAGGAGTTCTCTTTTCTTGCTCTAGGATATACAATACTAATAGAATCCATCCCGGATGTGAGGTAAGGATAATGTTATTCAAACCCTCATCAGCGATGGATTCTATTTCTTGCTTTTTACCCAAAACCTGTAAAAACAGCTGCTCATCTAGTAAAGTTGTAATCTGTCCGCACAATTCTCATTTGCACATGAAGCCCAGATGGAAATTGTTAATGATGTCAATCAAACTTCAGACCCTGACTGACCCCAAAACTTCCTAGAATGACGCCACGAACAAAAGCGTGACCCCAAAAGGTCACTATAATTCCATCGCCAGTCTGCGCGTGTAAGTGATCTAGACCCGTGGGTCGGATACAATTTTCCAGCACCGCCAGAAATGCGGATATCTCGGTCTAGTATGTATGAAATATGATTCTCAAAACTTTTACAAATTTGTACAGAGAAAAGTAAAAAGCAAATATTAATAATTCTAAAGTAAAGCATACAGTATTCTTATTTGTTAGAATATTTGGTGAATGAACTATATTACTGATAGATTGTTAAAAACAGTTTGTGTTGCTTTGTGAGTAGTATTATATATGGGAAGCATACCTTCTTGCACATCTGCAAATCATGCAATAAAAAAACAGCCCCATGTTATTGATAACTACACTACATCAAGCTGAAACACTTTATCCCTCATTGACCATAACACAGACAACATTTGTGTACATAATACCACCTTTGACGGTATACATATATGTGTACATTGGTAATGGAGAGGATTACACATAATGTCACCTTCCTGTTAATATCATGATTTTCAAAAAGATAATTATTCTGTCTAATTATCACTACTAAAAATAATCTGATCAGGCTGAAACATGAAAACAATTTGCTACCTTCACATAGAGACCCTAGGGGTCTATTTTCTCATTTTGGCTTGGTACAGAAATGTTTGTAAATGTAACCTAGTGCTGACGTATACCAGTTGGAAGTTGTCATGTAGATGTGGCCTTTAACTTTTTTTGACTTTCACTAAGTACTTTATGTAACATATTATAACCTGAAACTGCTTCCATAGCCAATGGAATTCGAAACTCACGAAAGAAAGGAAAATTGTATAAACCTTTTTTTTCTTAGAAAGTACCGCAAAGAATGAAAACTTAAAACAGCCCATTGAAACTCTATAGGGTGTCTGTGTGTACTATCATATGTATTAAGAGTAAATGTGCATGTAGACCGTACCCATGTGTATAGTATATGTGCGTAGATGTGAACATAAAGATGTAAATTGTGTACAAGTAAACATGTAACATGTGTACTTACTTTTGGAGACCTTGTCCTGTTTGTCTGCCAGGGCACTGTCGAGTTGTCCGTGGATCTTCTCCATGATTTCACCTTTCTGTGGACTAGCCGACACGTTGTGGTAGCGAGCCTGCTGGGGCGGGGACACCCCCAGGGAGTTCTCCCGGGAGTACTGGTTGGCCTTGTACCGGGCACGCCCTATATACGGGCTCTCGTCTAGTGCTCCACTATCATCGTGCTGTAACAGTACACAAGTAAAGGTTATAATGACCTGTATCATGTATAATACATTTACGTACTTAGATCTGGTACTGGACAAAACTTCTGTCAACTAATAATCAAGCTGTATGTCTTTACGTAATATACAAGTATCGAAACCAATCAGATACATGAAATGTGAAAAAAAAAAATACATAAAAAATTTGAAAGTCTTTAATAAATTCTATACCAACCCTGTTTAAGTCAATCTATTCAAGGACAACATGAAAGTTTATCAAAGAGTATTTTGGAGGTCATTGATATACATGTATAAAACGTTGATCACCTTGACAAACTTGGATTACAGTCACCACCCAAAAATTGGATTTATTACAACATTTTTTATAAACAGACATGAAAGGACTTGACAAAACTGAGATGCCACTTTCTGATCCAAAAGTAAATCCAAATACATGTACATCTTAGTGTAATTTAGGAAACTTGTAAGCAACATAAAATGGACCCTTGATAAACACCTCATCTCTTACTTAGTACCTCTCCCCTTTTTCTAGTAAGGGTGCCCTATCCCTTCATTACAAGTTACTGCCTTCCTACAAACTAGTGCCTACGTTGGCTGTTTTTGAAAACTTGGAAGGTTCTATCATCATTCTAATTCTCCTCACTAGCAAAACGCCCAGGGTATTCATTATTAGGTCGAAAATAGCATTTTAATTTGACTTATTTTAATAAATTTATGATACATATATGTATATACATAAAAATTTTGAAATCTAAATCATTTGACTTGATTTCATTAATTTATAAAAACTAAGTGAGCATGAGCTCACTTAGATATACCCTCCCCCATTCCATGTGACCCTTGACCAATAACTCCATCAAATCTAATCAGGTGTAGAACTCAATGCAGCCCTACTTGGTGTCAATATTAACTAAATTTGTTGAGGGATTCATTAGATATCTTGCACACAAGGTTTTTACTTCCAAAGGGGTCAAGTGTGCTCTTTGATCATGACCTTTGACCCTTTACCCATGCTCAATATGACCAAACGTTGGTGTAAATATAACAGAATTTGTTCAGGTATTTATGAGATATCATTTACACATGCTTTTTACTACGATGAACTGACAGATGCACACACAGACGGCCAGACGCACTGACAAAGCATTTCTGAAGTTAAGGAATATTTCTTTAACTTCAGACATTTTTCAGCAACTTCATTGAGTTAACAAACACTCAAGGAATTGGGACCAGGGCAACATGGTAGGCATGTGTCGGGAAAGACACTCAATGAAAATTAAGTTAACAATTTGAATAGAAAAATAACTAGACGAAGATTCAAAATCGTCTCCTTTTTTAAATATCTACTTTACAACAATTATGAAACAAGCAAATTCTCCCAACTTACATCTACCACTTTTAATTTGTTGGCCTGAATGGTCTTTGTAACAGGAAATCTGAGTAACCCGAGAAAACTCATGCTGTCAGGCAGGCGACACAATACTTTTTCACATCCAATTAGGGAATTGAATCCAAGCTGTCTCCGTGAACGTCGAGCTTGTGTTTCACTGCACCACCCGACCACCCAAATCAGCACTGACTCGTTAACATGCAGTGAGTGTAGCCCAGACCAATTATCCTGTGTCAGTAATATGTATCACCAAATTACGTAAGAGGCGTGTGTTGTCGTGAAGACTCGGTGTAACATTGATGGTTATTACACATAAAGACAAATATCTTGTACTACCGTATTTTACCGCAAATAAGGCTATAAACTCTGTTCAACTTAATGTCCTTGTTAGACTTTCAAGGTCACAGGCTTCATATGTTTAAATCATTTAATAGATTCTAATGATTCGAGTACAGATATTTTGCCTGTCCTAGACTGAGGGTGTTGGGGAGGAACACCTTTGTGTGCATACGCTTCACTGGTCATTTGTCTGATTAAGGTGACAGTGTACATATAGTACTAGTCATCGAAACGCCACATACAAAATTGTATTGGTTGTGTAAAAAGAACTCTTCATAATCCTGATAAAGATGGTTTACATACATGTAAATCTTTTTCGGTAGGCACCAAGAAAATGAACTTCCATGTTACGTCCCAAGGAGGTAGCTGAACAGTACAGCCTTACCTGATTGTGCTGTGGGCTGGTCCCCAAACTGTCAGTACAGCCTTACCTGATTCCGCTGTGGGCTGGTCACCAAACTGTCAGTACAGACTTACCTGGTTCCGCTGTGGGCTCGTCCCCAAACTGGCAGTACAGACTTACCTGGTTCCGCTGTGGGCTCGTCCCCAAACTGGCAGTACAGACTTACCTGGTTCCGCTGTGGGCTGGTCTCCAAACTGTCAGTACAGCCTTACCTGGTTCGGCTGTGGGCTGGTCCCCAAACTGTCAGTACAGACTTACCTGGTTCCGCTGGGGGCTGGTCCCCAACCTGTCAGTACAGCCTTACCTGATTCCGCTGTGGGCTGGTCCCCAAACTGTCCGTACAGCCTTACCTGATTCCGCTGTGGGCTGGTCCCCAAACTGTCAAACTTGGAGTCGATGTTATGGAAGCCCAGCTCCTGTTCTAACTGGTAATGCTTCTCACAGGCCTTGTTTAACTCAGTGGTTTTCTTCTTCAGCTTAAAAGACAAATCAAACAGAATTTTTTCACAACAAAATTGTATTGGTTGTGTAAAAAGAACTCTTCATAATCCTGATAAAGATGGTTTACATACATGTAAATCTTTGTCGGTAGGCACCAAGAAAATGAAGTTCCATGTTACGTCCCAAGGAGGTAGCTGAACAGTACATCCTGACCTGATTGTGCTGTGGGCTGGTCCCCAAACTGGCAGTACAGCCTTACCTGATTGTGCTGTGGGCTGGTCCCCAAACTGGCAGTACAGCCTTACCTGATTGTGCTGTGGGCTGGTTCCCAAACTGTCAGGACAGACTTACCTGGTTCCGCTGTGGGCTGGTTCCCAAGCTGTCAGTACAGCCTTACCTGGTTCCGCTGTCGGCTGGTTCCCAAACTGTCATTACAGCCTTTCCTGGTTCCGCTGTGGGCTGGTTCCCAAACTGTCAGTACAGCCATACCTGATTGTGCTGTGGGCTGGTTCCCAAACTGTCAGTACAGCCTTACCTGATTCCGCTGTGGGCTGGTCCCCAAACTGTCAATACAGCCTTACCTGATTGTGCTGTGGGCTGGTTCCCAAACTGTCAGTACAGCCATACCTGATTGTGCTGTGGGCTGGTTCCCAAACTGTCAGGACAGACTTACCTGGTTCCGCTGTGGGCTGGTCTCCAAACTGTCAGTACAGCCTTACCTGGTTCCGCTGTGGGCTGGTCCCCAAACTGTCAAACTTGGAGTCGATGTTATGGAAGGCCAGCTCCTGTTCTAACTGGTAATGCTTCTCACAGGCCTTGTTTAACTCAGTGGTTTTCTTCTTCAGCTGAAAAGACAAATCAAACAGAATTTTTTCACAATCAATAACAGTTTTCATTAAAACACATGAAATATCTTTATTGTCCAGCCACATGCCGTAAGGGTTCTGCTTGTCTGCCTTTCTATTAGACATAATCACACTACTGGAAAACGTTTAATATTTTAACACATAATGGGTGATCAAATATTTATCTAGCTTAAAAAGACAAAGCACAAACTAATGAGATATTGGGAAAAAAATTAATATAACTTTATAGACTACCAATGTAACACAGTATATAAAGCTTAGCTTCTGACTGATACTGAGAGTAAAGAATTTGAGCAGACATACAATACTTCACCTGAAAAACAATTATCAAAATTGAGAAAAATATAGAGGAATATATTAAGTTTCACACTTCTCACCTGCAGTCTTGTAAAAATAAACCTTGGTAAAAAGGTCTATCTCCTTTATATATACTTAACAGTGATCACAATTAATTGTTCATGCTGTCATAATAAAAGGTAGTACATCCCTGCATAAAAACCTTCTCAACAAGAGGAAATTTCACAAATTTAGCTGAATAAGATTTTAAAATTCATGCACAAAAAATGCTTGTATGCATATATATATATATATATAGTCCAGGAGTTTAAGATAATCCCAACGAATGTTCACCAGGTATCATGTCAACTGTCAGACTGACACATACTGACATACACTACCAGTACCCCCGTACTGCCAACACGTATACCGGTACAAATCAGTACCTGCACATATTACACATGTTGTGGCCATTCAAACCTCTACCTCTATAAACGTGTATAGAAATCAAAAGTGACAAATGCTTTAGCGCTGATAAGAGACTTATAATTCCCGCTCGTTTAGACATGTCCGTCAGCGTCAAATTTCCCTTATAGCTTGTCGTTATAAATACATTGTCGTTAACGATCTTTAATCCATTCATCAATGCTGACCGGTGTTAAGATAGGACAGCGTTCTAATCGGCCATAATTTGATCTTCTATCACACTGACCGTGTTGTACTTACCCAACACTCTGTACTGACTATCATTGAAATCACCCAGTAGACATTTAAAGGGAAGCTTATATATTCCTTTGGAACAGCCTGAGTTGTACATTTAAATGACATATATCTTCAAAGTGAAAGTTTACAATCATTTCATTTCTATATATGATATATATTTATTTCATTTTTCATTCATGATTTACAACCAAAACAAATTTATGCATAAAACATTTCAAAGTAATTTAGCATGAGCATATTTTCGTTCCATATCTTCTTAAAATTACTCAAGTGAAAATAAATTAAATTCAAACATTTTTGTTTGATATGAAATACGGACATGTATTCATAATAACAATGCACAGAAAATATCACAGCAAAATAACCAGTTTTATAGCATTCAATATTGAACATGATCTATTGTATGGTTACAATACCCAGAGAAAGAGTATTCTACGATTCCCATCATTGAATTGTGTGTAAATGAACTTTTTATTTATTTAAAGACGGCACTTTGAAAATGAAATAGTGGGGCAATGTTTAGAAATGTAAATAGTTAATAAAATGTCCTGCAAATGAAATAAAAAGTTTACAAGAGTTGTGTGTGGGGAACAAGTATTTATAGATTTTAAATTTCTTTCACTTCAATCTTTCAATTGGTATACCTGGTAGGTATAATGTCAGTAAATAAACAGAATTAAAGAATATTTAAGCTCGTACCATAATGAAACCTGTATAATGCTAGAAACTCAGGACTTGTATTGTAGTACAACAATTTATATAACCCAGACAAAACTCTCGCACTGCAAATTTTTGTAAGCCCCATTATATCAGAATAATTATTAATGTATTTTGAGATTATAATTTAATGTCTAAGATTTAAATTGTAGTGTACCTAATAAATCCAAATCCATGCTGTAGGGATATGCAGGTGTACCTGTTATTTAAACAAGTACATAAGTCTTTTCCAGGACTTACCAGGGAGTAAACCATATCAGTACAGATGTACACCATAGTCCGCAGACACAGAGGGGTGAAGGGCTGAGGTACAAACTTAGCACAACGAAAGGATTATCATGATCAGGGAGACATCAAATAGAGGGCATGTAGAATCAGTGGACATTTGGGGGAAATGAAGACATAGACAGGGTATGAACAAGTATGTAGCAGTAATGGATGGCCATGAGATGAAGACACGAAGAAGTTTAGAGCAAGGAGCTGATGCTGGAGACTCCGAGGGGCAATCATGATAACGGAAGATGACATGGAGAAGTTAAGAGGAGATAGAACTAACAAATCACCAATGCTTTCCACAAACTTGATTTTTGTTTTGCATAAATAATGAAGCATAACACACATTTCTCCATAGAAAACAATACTGCAACTTTAGAATTAAATATAAAACAGTGCTAACCTACCTATATCCTTAGATAATCGTCTCGTTCAAATAAATCCTCTAGATCCCACGATTTGTCAATATCCAAAGTTTATTCCATGAAGATCGACTTTCTCCCAAGTAACGAGAGCAGTGGTGCCTATGTAAGGTGCTCGGTGTCGTAGGGACTGACGAGAGGACTGACGTGAGATTACCGGTAAATAGCTACTGCTAATACACTAGTGCTTTAGTGTGTATACAATATCAGCTACTGATAAGGTACAGTTGCTAAAACTGACCCCAAATCACAGCTGGGACACCACGATTGCTGTCGGGAATACCCAGGAAATTGTAAAGCCATGTTTCAAAGCAAATATTACAATCAAAATTAATTATATTTATATATATGTATTGTGGATAATTTGAGACTGACAATATTTGAGGAGGGGGGGAGAGAGTAAATGGGCTGGAAAAGGAAAGGAATCTGAGAAAACAAAAGAAAAGACAAGAATTAAAGGTTAGACAGGTGAAAAGGTTAATGTTCTGACAAAAAACTTCAAACATCAACAAGATATTTTTTTATAAATTTTCGTAAAAATTCATCAACCCTCAAAAAAAAACATTTCTTTTGTTTATAGAATCAGTAGTTTTATCAAATAAGTAGAAATAAATTTAAGCAAAGGTATTTGGAAAATCTTCATTCTGGAATGTTTTCTTGTTAAAAGTGCCCAGTCTTTTGCAAATTTTAGTAAAACAGTACAAAGAACAATTATCCATTAAGTGAAATTGTGTAGTGATTGTGATTGAAAAAGCAATAAGATAGGAACATGGTAGTTATACTTTTGAAACTTACATAATTGTAAAGGATAAATAAAGTGTAAGGTTTGGGGTGGTGCCTCCCCTACAGTGGTCAAGTTAGCTGGACACACATCTCACCAGGAGCCAAGAGTCTTCACCGTTCTCCAAGTGTTTATTTATTGATTGATTTCTAATTTAAGATATCGAGTGTATAGAACTTACTATGAGATACCCTTGTTATCAGTTGTTACCTTTGCGATAAAATTTACCTGGATATTTAACACCTCTACGAGGTCTACCTGTACCTGAGGCGTTTTACGTGGCTTTAATCTGTAGGTGGTGCTGCATATACAGCTAGATTTCTACGGTAAATCACAAAATGTCAGCTACAATTAAGACAAACGGAAGCAAAGAGACACAACTCTAAGAACAGACTGTATTTAACCCTTTCACCACTGTAGACCATCATGGACTCACCCAATTGAATGTATGGTAGAGTCTACTCAAGTTACCTAGGGGTGAAAGGGTTCAAATTATGTATGAAGGTTTGAAAGGATGCAATGGTCTCAAGACAAACTCAGACCTCTAAGGCAGATAGACAAAAAAGGGAAAGAGTCAATAAAGAAATGTATAGGATGATATGTTACCTAGAAATAAAACTTAGCACTGCTACTTCAAATGTATTGTAAGATGGCAGGATTACTGGGACAATTTTGTATCGAGAAACTCCAACCACTTCCTAAAACACTGACTAGTTATACAGGATAAGTGCTTGTTGGATATTCGGTCAACAGGATAAGTGCTTGTTTGATATTGACCCAACAAGATAAGTGCTTGTTGGATATTGAGCCAACAAGATAAGTGCTTGTTGGATATTCGGTCAACAGGATAAATGCTTGTTTGATATTGAGCCAACAAGATAAGTGCTTGTTGGATAGTGGGTCAACTGGATAAATGCTTGTCGGATATTGTATAAACAAGATAAGTGCTTGTTGGATATTGAGTCAACAACATAAGTGCTTGTTGGATATTGAGTCAACAAGATACTTGTAAGTGCTTATCAGATAGTAGAGCAACTGGATTTGTACTTGCTGGATAGTAGGACAACCTGATAGTGGTGTCTGGATAGTAGGACAATCTGATAGTGGTGTCTGGAAAGTGGGGCAACCTGATAGTGGCAACTAGATAATGGGACAAACTATATAATTATACTGAAGTCCTGTATATATATCAGACCAGATCAATTTTTATATAAGCCATGATTCATTGTTAAGAACATTTACCATAAATAAATACATGTGTTACCTTAACGTCTGAGACTCTCCACTCAGTAGTGGTAGTCAAGTCAAAAACACACTCCAGCTAAGTCTTATCAAGCCTGGCACTTGTCTGTCTTTAGATCATGTCAGCGAGGTACTCAAACAGATCTGACACTTTAGTGTGTAGTCTCTAGCAGTACACCAAGCTCTAGACATAGGGCACTGATACAGCCCGGTAAACGTCACGCAAAACACTTACCACTATCAATTTAAAACCATTTGTCTTTTAAAGCCATCCATCATGTTTGAAGATTTTAAGGTTTTTTCTCTAGACCACCTCAGACAGAGAATCTTACAAAAAATTACTCGGTAAACTAAGAGACCCAGACATCTGCTCTGTCACCTGACATCAACACAAAATACGGTTAATGGTCAGAATCATGTACATTATATATTCCAGGACACCATGTATATCATAATGAATGGATCTGTTTACTTGAACTGTTACAATTGATTTGGCAAAAGCACCACCATGACAAATTTGAACTGCATGGAATTCCATAACCGATTTATCACAAATGCTTATTGCTGCCTCAGACAATAGAAAAAGTAGCCCAATCAAACTTAATCCAATTATGAAGTGTTTTCTCCAATAAAACTGCTATTAATTTAAATCTTAACTAGACATTTGTTTTTGTGAACAAAACCGTATGTCACGTACACCCCTTTAACAGTTTAAAAGTTACGACCCTGACAAGATATTCCTAAAAACTTTGGACTTATTTGACCTTTGAGCTCGATGTCAAGGTCGCAGTGTCCTAATGACAGTGAACTGTACATCTTTTGTAGGTGATGCAGGTATAGTTCAAGTTTTATCAGGATCTCTTTAACTTAGCACATATTTTAACTTATTATTAGAAGAACTGCCTGTTGCTTAATTATAAAATGCATATATGAACAAGTTCTAATTGTAATGGGGACCGTTACAGAAGTCCTCAAAACTGACCCAATAGTCGCAACTGATGCTTGGATAGAATTGCCAATGCCATCAATATTAGACACAGTGAGGGACCGTTGGCATCACCTTGGCGTACACCTTTAAATGTTTTAAATAATCAGACTTTTTTTACCTTTGACCTTGAGGTCAAGGTAACAGTGACCTAATGACAGTGCACTGCACATCGTCTATGGGTGATGCAGGTATACTTCAAGTTTCATCAAGATATCTTAAACATTTTAAAAGAAATGGCCTGGACAAGATTATATTAAAAGAACAAGATACAGTAGAACCAGCACTAATACGATCAATATGTTTCCCTTCATTGGAAGAGGCGACATAATGATTCTTTTTGCTTTTCAATGAAAACAATTAAATTATCCACCCACAGTACTTTTCAAGTACAATTTTAACAGCTCACTGAAAAGGTGGTAAAGTGCAGTTTGAAAAGTAGTCAAACATTGAGTGTCTCCAACTCTTCATTTTACATTTAACTTGTAAACAAATTATACCATTGGTAATCAATCAAATTTCTCCAAATGAATTTTGTTTTATCCTGGCCGTCTAAGTCACTCTTGCTAAGGATCATATTCGGTGCAATTCTGATCATTGCATTCACAGAATAAGCCTATATCACACTGAGTGTCCACCACCCATCCCCGCCCTTGGATACCCCTAGTTTGGGGTTGGAGGGGTTGTCAGGCACTATTCTGATCCCCGAGATTATGATCATTACATGAAAAACAGAAGGAACTGATAGAAGTCTATATTGCACTCTTAGTGACCTGTGATTTTGGGCCCTGCCTCTCCTTAATGAACTGGGATAATAAAGGTCCAAGTGAGACACATTTAATATATTGCTGTATTTATCCTCCAAAACTATCAATATAAGAAGTTTGATGACTCAGTTCCTGTTAAAATTATAGAAGACAACATGTTATTATGACTTCCTATCATAAAGTCAAGCCGATCTGCTCCCACTTGTTGGAAACACCGTTCAGTTGAGGTAATTCTCAAGACTTGTGATATTTTATACAAGTTGTGTGAATTCTGTTTTCGCTGATTTACGTACCAGATCATTTTTAGTTTCTAATTCCCGCTCGAGTTCATTGAGACGGTCGGCTGTAATTTTGTGCTGACGTTTTCTTTCCTCGTCTGCTGCCTTTGAAAATGATGACTCCTGGGCAGAGCGATTCTGCACTTCTTCCAGCTTCCTGTTCCGAGCCTCCTCTGTTTCAAGCAGACGCTCCAGTTTCTCAATCTCATCTGATAAAAGAGTAAGTTTCAATCATTTCAAAAACAACAGTTTACAGATTATCTTTAACTTATCTTAATACCCGTTAGCATTTACATATATATATACTTATACTCATGAAAATATTACTGAAGTCAGCTAATCACAAAGTGAATTTTCTTAACAAATCAATATTATAAAGGTTAACAGAAGACAGCTTACCTTGCTCAAATCTATCACGTGCGTGTCTGCGCTCCTCCTCTGTGACTGGCTGGCTGTCGAGGACCTGGAGTGTGCGCAGGTGGAAGACGAGGTAGAGGCGACAGTGGGGAATCTGGCACAGAGGATTGTCTGCCACGGTCAGCTCTAACAGGTCTGGTAACGGCTTCAGCTTAGCAAGCTCACTCATCTGGGGGTAGCAAACACAGGCTTACATATACTGACTCGTTAAAAATATCTGAACAACATTCGTCTGTTAGTCATTGTTTGGTCTTTTGCTTTTATCACTAAAAGTGACTTTTAAGGGGGAGATTTTTCTGAAACAGACACACTATCAAGGCCTTAACAGTTCTTAAGTTATTTTTTCTTATTCATGAATATGAGAAAATCTTATTTCATTGCATAGAAATCAAGGATTTAATAACAAATTTAAATATAATGCTAGTTATAAGGTAGAGACTAGATTGGCCACCGTCTCTAGAATATTGAATTATTCAGAAAAAAGTTTAACTCAAAAAATTTGGATCACTTGGATGACCGATTCTATAGACTAGGGGGAGATAAGCTAGTAGTAAAAACTTAGGGGATGGTAGCCAGTCTAGGTAGAGATCTACATTTGCAAGTGTTTTAACAGACCAAGGGCAGTAACTCCTACTTGACTTTGCTATATTACACTGACCGACTGTAGATTGTTTTTGCCCAGGTGTAGTGTACGCAGTGCTTTCAGTCGCTTGCCCAGCCAGATTGGTATGTGTTCTATGTTGTTCCCTGTGACATTCAGCATCTGTTATATGTGCAGAGAAAAATGTGTTAATTTAACACCAACAAAATCATTTCTCATTTGGCTAGAACATTAATGACAAGTCAATTTACCATTATTTCATAAATTATGAAACAATTCTGCTTAGTACAGAATATGAAAGACTTATGAAAACAGAAATTAAAAAATTATTTAAATTGTTCTTTGCTATATTAAGTGTTCTTTTCTTTTACAATGACTCTGACAATATTTTGTATTTATGGAAGAGCATTTCACTGTCTACACTCAAATACAAATTATTTTTTTTCATGTTCATATAAACATATATTTGTAAAATGTATTGACATTCATGCATTCAATAATTGAACAATCTTTAACAAGACTACAGTATATAACTTAGCTTTACCTGTAGGTTAGCCAGATTCTCCAGTCCTTCCACCTTTGTGATGTTGTTATAGGCCAGATTCAGCTCGCGCAGTTTGATGAGCTTCTCTAGTTTCTCCACACGTTCTATCATGTTACAGCTCATATTCAGGTTGGTCAGCTTCTTACACCGGTCAAGGTTTTCTATGTACTGTAACGACAAGGTCAAGGTTTTCTATGTACTGTAATGGAAAGGTCAAGTTCAGGTTTTTTTTATAACAAACAACAGTTAGTGAGTTACAATGTAAAACTATTCTCGTGCTCAAACTCAGATAATGTGCTGCAGCTCACATTTTTGTAACTCAGAGAGATCTTGCAACATACTCAAAAATGAATAACTAAACATGGAAATGCTGGCAGTTAAATGACTCCAATGAGTACAGAAAATATGAAAATGTTTCAAATATGTGTAATTTTTAAAAACTAGAATTTTTGCCTAAGCAAAGAATCTGAGTTTGAGATACAGGCCCTAGCAAATTGTGTAAGGATATAGAAAAAGAACTGGTCAAGATAAATATGTGGTCAAGGTCACAAGAAAGACCATTTTTAAATTTTACAACAAAGAGAAGTCAATATGACAATGACGACAAAGTTAATATTGATTCGATAAATACAGGGAAATGTATGCACTGTTATGATAAAAGGTTTAGAAATCATTAAGATTTATTCCTTAAATAATTTCAAGACCAGGAATGTGAGTGTGTGTTTTATACCATTAACTCCCTCACAAACACTCACAACCACAGAAGAACTAACCAACTAATTTTTTTAAATCACAGCTCTCAATAAAAATATATCATTTTTCTCATGCAAAATAAGTTCAATTTAAAACCAGATCACTCTGAATACATTATAATGCTTCCATGAACATCTTTTATGATTCCACCACATGCTCTGCTAATACTTACTTGAATTCTAAGTTTAACTTAGGTTGAAATGAATGACTTGTATGTAGTTGATGCAATACAGGCATCCCCAGTGATTATAAAAATATAAGTTGAATACTTATTATGACATTCCAGATCTTTTCCTCCCCACATTTATAACTGTTGGGAGTTGGTTTTGTTAATTTAACATCTTTCGTCATCAAAATGACAATGTACATAATTATAGTGAACAAACAAAGGCACAGACCATCAGCGGCCGATACGCAATCTTTCAGAATGACATACCAATGTACTGATAGAGATTTGGACTTGGGAGAGGGAAACAGCGACGTGTCTCTGCCGTAGTCAAAATAGGACATGTATGTTGTATGAGGACAAATGTTGTCTAAACAAAGACATCCCACTCATCACTTACCTGTAAGTGCCCTAAACCCTTAGTATGTATATCAATCAAATAGTTATCAACAAACTAATATTCCACTAAGTTTCCTGTAGCAAAATGGGGTATAGACTGCATTCAATTTTCGCTGATAGTAACACAATATAAGTTGGTTTATTTGAACAGTCTGAATAAAAAAAAATGGAAATATTTTGAGTTCCAAGATATTAATGCTAATTGTATCATCTTGCAAACTCATGTTTGTTTTTGTTATTTTTCATCATGATACCATTTATCATTTACTATAAGTCATCTACTGGTGTGTATAATTCCAACACAGCGACACAAGGTAAGGCTATAACTAAATATTTATCATATTTTATGCGTATATATCCCTCATGTTTTATTCCATCTATACCAAGGGTATATAAACTATACCATAAAAATAAAACATAAGTTGAATCACAAGTCCTGTTTCTTATACCAAACTATCTACCTATACATGTTTAGTATTTAATACATGTCTACTTCGTATGCTTGACTGTAAGGAAGCCAGCACAAAAATCATATATATGTGCTGAATTGGCTATAAAACTCTTCAGATGTCTTATAAACCTAGCAAATTGTCTACCTGGATTGAAACGCATTGATCATGAAATTGAGATACCTGTTGGTTTAACGTTCCACAGGTAAATATGAAATCGACAACATTGTCCATTTAAATTTCCACCAGTCCTGTACATGAAACTGACTACCTGCAGGGAACATTGCCCTTTCACTTTTCACGACCATGTATAAAATATAGTCAGCTATATGGTAAGTAGAAACACCTACAGTGAGAATGTTTTATGCCAAATGACACTTCTTTTTATAAAATGTTCTGGATTCAAATAGCAAAAACATTCTTGTGTAAAGAGCACAAAATTATTAATAAAATTGTATTTACAGAGAATTTATAATTCCTCAAGACAAACTTTTTTTTTTTGATATATGAATTGGGTACTTTTATAAAGGTAGCTTTTTATTGCATGCCTTAAATGTACCTATTGTAATTTTAACAGTTTCCTTGGAGAAAATGTCCGGGTAGAATATTTGTGAATCAATTCCATCAACCTCTTGTTTTGAAAATCCAGAGACTTGGATGCATTTCTTTTTCAACATTCACTTGGTGGATTAAACAGAATTTTATGAGCAACTAGTTATTTTTTAATACCAAACTCAGTCTATTGATAACCATTAACGTCCATATTCTAGGGTCCCAAGATCTGTCTTGTGTGTATTCCGTGGTCTATCACATAAATAATCTCTAATTGTGTATTTCTAAAGGTTGTGTAGATATACACTAGCTCAGATCGTACAAATAAATATATCTACAAGTGTGTCCACGCCACAAACAATAACTGTAAACAGTATATTGATCCACAACTCAAATAATATACATTATACCTATATCCTACCGACTATATTTCCTCAACAGTCTATTAAATTATACATTTGAGACCTGCAGGAGACAAAATCCCTTTGTATATATATATATGGTATCTTAAGATTTATTTCCTGATTATGAATGCACAGTATATTCCACTGACCAGTAAATTCTGTTTGTTATTGAATCATACAAATGCCAGCATTTTATTTAAATCTTGTTTCATTGTAGAAAAAAAAGGCGAATACCAATAATGTCCCAATACGTCCTTAAAGGCAGATATTGAATTTCACAACAATTTCTTAAGAATTGAATAAGAGATTTTATAAGAAATAAAATCATTTTAAGCCATTGAATCTCTGCCATTAGTGTGATATCAATGAAGGAAATATCAACAGAATGTAAAGGATGATTTAAATCCATTAACCATATATCTGTTTTATTAAAGTATATTTTTAATCATTTTTAAAGCTAAATATCAGATACGAAGCAACATAATACAAACAGGATTAACGTTGTCAGTTTTTTTTATTTAAATAAATTAACTAACGGTAATAAGTTTTGTATAAATATTGCTTCATGTTCGTTTGCTAGATTTTCCAAAAAAAAATCAGGATCTCAAATTTTCTTCAAACCTTTTATTACAAGTCTAATATAAACATCACTGCATTATTTATTTGGCTTTTTTTTCTGAAACACTTTAAAAGTGCTGAGATCTTCAGTAAGTGTAGACATCTCAAGAACAGGTCAAGCATCTGTAAGATCTAGACCAATGAACAAGCTACTGGTATTACCGATTACCAGGTAACAAGAATTTTGTCAGCGGGCTACTAATATACCCCAGGCTGAGGTCTAGGGCTCCTGCCTCTATAACAAGACCTAGATTAGCTTACTTGTCCCAAGGATGTTTGTCATAGTGTTCAAGAAGCTTAAAAAAAACTAATAGTGCACTCAAGAATCGCTGGGAGCTCGGAACGATGTCCTGAAAACATAGATAGGTATACAGGCTCTGTGAGAGCTAGATAAACAGTCAATAATTTGTTTATGCAAATCACACCACAGACTCACAAGTTCAACACATATTGATGCAACACCGAATGTAGTTGACCCTGTTGAAAACACAAAAGCTGAGGTTAAATACACCATTGTGAAATTGACAAGGCTATTCACAAGAAAACAACAAATGTTTAAATGTCCAAGTCTTAAAAGTCAAATCTCTACCTGCCAAATTAACAAGCGACATGTATAAGGAGTGTGTGGGGGGAAACCAATTATCTGTAATAAATGGCCGTAAGTCTTATCTGTGATGTGGTGACTATATATATACATACAGGGTAGGAGTAAATGTTGAGACAAACACTTGTACAAATATTTATGTCAGCAAAAGCAAAGCCTATCACACTACTTGAAAGAATGTTGGGCTGTGTTCGGTCTCTGTACCCTTAGCAGAGATTTGAAACATTTCCCTCTCTCTCTGAAAACATGGAAAGAACTTTGAGACATATATCTCTCTCTGAAACCAGAATTAGACCTTTGATATGTAACTAACTCTATTTGAAACTCTGAATTGTGGTTTGAGACACCCCTTGCTCTGAAATCTTTGAGCTTGGAGTCCTATATAAAATACAAATGCAAGAGGCCAAACCCTGATTAATGTTTGACACTTTCTAAACTCCAGATAGACACTCCAATATTGTCTATATTTCTTATTTATGACAATCCATAATTCTAGGTTGAACAAGAAATATTCGTTCACTGTGGTCAGAGTGGATTAGATTATAGAAAGTAGACCACAATCATCTCCTGTTTTACGTATAAATGGCCTTTGAAAATATCTTCGTATCATTTGGGATCATGCAAGCAAAAACAAAACTGACGCTTGTTGACAAAAATACCAGTAATAGTGGAGGTTGTAAACACTATATCAAATTTTTTGAAAACCTGTTAGAACTAGACATTTTTGTATATTGATTTCTGAGGGCATCACCAACTGTCATGAGTACAGGATATTTTAGTATTGGATAACCGTTCTATAACTATGACATGAATTATTTAACATGCCGTACATGGGTACAGTTCGGGGAGATTCTACATGTGATAGAGAGCTACAACAAAGGAAGGATGTTGTCAGTAACTCAAGCGTGGAGGTCGTACACACACTAGGTCTAACACACACGCTATAGGAGACCTTAATGTTTTACAGAAAACTGGTGATCCGGTTTTCAGCTGCCATATCGTTCGACAACAAAATACATCGAACGCAATCCAACTCAGCTATTACTAACATGATGCTGTCTGAGAAAAGTTGTCTTTGAGCATCGGTACAAGTGTAGGGTAACAGAATAAAAAGTTTGAATTATTTATAGCAGATTAAAGATCGAACCACCAGACTGATATTTGTTCAATAACCATGTAAAACACACAAGTTAAGTTGTTCTTCAGAATTAAATTCAATGCATATAGCATAATAACACTTCGTATGTACTTAATTATGATAATTAAAAATATTGGTATCATTATTTAAATCTTTCAGTCTTAACAACCCTTTACATTCACTAGATGTCATATATAAAACGAGAAAACAATACAGCCATTTCATCAGTTCAGTTCATATAATTACTAAACAATTTACAGTTAAAATTCAATTAAGATATATATATATGTACAATGTACGTGTGCTATGTAAAGTTATAGTATAGGGTATAGGGCTTATCTTGAAACCACTTTCAATTTTACATTTCAATCCTACATTTGAACATCCATCTTCTATACACATTCCGTGGCTTAACGGGATTTCTTTTTTACCAAACCTCACCGATTTGTTACCTGTGAGAATCAATTAGCGACGTTAGGATCACCTGCGCTGACACTTTAAACATTTAATCTTAGTGTTCACGATACCTTTTTAACAATTAACGACACTTTCTGGGTGAAGTTATTTGTTATAAATAGCCTCCTATCGCTAAATGACATTTCAATATATATTGTAGCATTTATAACATTCTATCAAGTGAAATGTCAGCCTTTGAATCGGATATTTACTGCAGGGATATGACGTAAATTACAGCCCGATTGTAAACTTTCCAGACTAAGTCTGTTTTGCCATTCCAATCCAGCAATACGTTAATGGCTATTTGTTGCGAATACGTAGCCAAATAAAGTCTTGTTAGTTTAAATACAGAACATTTGTTTGCGTACAAATGCAAAACTTTCTGGTCTAATAAATAAATTGAACAAAGGTTTATCTTTATTCTAAAATAATTTTAAAATACTAATGGATTATCAGAAAAAAACAATTCACTTTCAAAACCCAAACACTACCTTTTAAGAATTCTGCTCTGTCTAAACCTGTAAGTGGCAGTTCTACCTGGTACTATATAGCTATTAAAAGTTTGTAATTTTGATATCCGTCTTCCTGTATGAATTCAATGAAAGTGTTCCACAGTTCCTCTTTCCTTGCAGTTCAATTATCCACTTTCCATTTCAGTGAACAATAAAACTACAAGTGGCATTTAAATTTTGTGACCCGACTATATCACCAGGGCTCTCAGTCTGGTAAAACCTGTACTCTAAGTAAATACAGTTTTTACAACACGCTACTCATATATGTACGTATCTACTTCGGAATCAATGCCTATGTCGTTACAAATTTCAAAGGTTATACCTGGGTATTGGTTCAACAATTTAAAAATCTAGCAACAACAACAACAACAAAATTGATTATACAAAAATGTCCATTCATTGCTGTGTAGGTACCTAAGTGCAGTGCATGTCAATGCAACACGCTTCCGGAGAAACCCGACACATTACCGGAAGACGACGAAGATGTCAAAAATAGATATATACATATAGGAACAAACCTTTATTTTCTTGCCGTTTTCCTTGGACAGTGTGAGGTTGAGAGTGGTGATCATTTCCAGGCTTTCCTCCTTGGCCATCTTCCTGATGAGATCCTCTGTGATGTAACGGACACCAGATTGTGGACCTACAAATTGGGGATTAAAAGTTGTGTCATATTAGCAATACACGTATTACTAAAGTTTATATGGTGAAAGAGCCTGAATAGAAAATTGAAGAAACAGGCTTCTGTCATGGTTAAGCTTCCTCATTATTTTATTTGTTTTTTCTCCTTCAGTAAGAATTTGACCTTATAAGTCTAAAACCAAATATTTTCAACTAAAATCCCTCAAAACAAATTATCAGGATTTTCAGAACTCTGGTTTTTAATTCTTAAAAGCCATTTATTTAAACATATTTAAAGATTAACACAAAAACTTTATTTTCACAAAAATATATATTTGTTCTGCTAATATCACATTTTCTTCCTTTATATCACAATTGAAGTTGACATTGAGTATGTTTCAATTCTCAGAATGTCTTACAACGACACTCGCATATAATTCACAAAAATATTCAAAATGTCACAATTACGATCAACCGATTGCCAACAAACAGTCTAGCGTTTACAACCACTTAAAGAAATTCAGTCAAACTCAAACAAAATATGTATAGGCTTGCATTGTCTAATATACAATATCAATTGTATAAGAATGCATTTCTGGCCAATCAAGTCTAAATATCAGAGAAAACAACCATACCTTCATGAAAGTGAAGAACTATCTGTGTAGGTAATACAGTACATTTCACCTAATATCACGTCTGTTAATGTCACTTTTCGGTTATTATCATGTTTTTTTAATGCACCGTTTTTCCTGCTATATAATCTATGCAATTCAATTCTTTTATTATCACCTGATTTTATGTTGATTTCTCTTAATATCACTTTATTTTGGCCACTGTCACAAATAAAATACAGGTAAATGGTGGTAATGATTCATGATAAATGCCCTGGGGACCTTCTGTCACACCCTGGACGCATTATGTAAACAATNTAACATGTGTACTATCTTCGATTACACACTTGCAGCAAATATCTAAGGAAATTAACCTATAAAAAGATGTTACTAGCGAAAGAACAGTATATATATCAAGATATAGGTAAATATTTACCAAGTCTCATGTTTACAATTGAATTTGATGCACTGAATACCAGCCAAACACTTGTATGCCTACATCACTACTGCAGTAAACAATCATAATTACAATCGTACTGATCGTCATTTTGCTACTAACTATATGAAATGTAACTGCATACTGAAATGAAATACAAATAATATATTTATTTCTATACTTATTTACTTATATCTATATTTAAACTAGGGTAAAGAACAAGGTTAGTTACAAAATATCAATCTTCTAATTAGAGCCACATCACTTAGGCATTTGACTAAGTTCACTTCCAGTTTTGAGGGCTGAAAAACATCAGAAAATATGTATTCTGTTTATGTCATGTTTCTGTTAATATCATGTTTTTCTCTGACAAATGGGAAGTGATATTAAGAGAAATCTACTGTACATGTAAGTTTCTAATAGTCTGACTATCTTTGTACAGAAATATTGCTGTAGCACTGAAAAAGACCTACAATGTATATATCGACCTTGGGCCTTTATATTATCACTGACATAGACTCGATACTGAAATTCTTGAACATCGATCATCATCTAGCTTGTAATACATAAAGACACATACATGTATGCAAAGAAAGTTTACAGGTTTTCAGCATGAAACTCTTGAGCAAAAAAAAAAGAATTTTATAAGATAACAAATATCTTTAATAACAATCAGAATCCAGAGAAGTTTAAATTCAGAATTGTTTACCACTGTAATAAGGCCATGCGCTTAGGAGTCTAATAGAACCCCTCTGCAAGGACGAGCATATTCCGAAATTTGAATTCTGTACTAAAAGCAGAATTTTCATGTGATGGAAGTTTTTAAATTCACTAAATAAAACAAAAAACCTATGCAAAATTGCATTTATTGGCCCATTATTAAATAGCTATTACAATAGCATTGCCGAAGCAAAAATGACAACACCATAAATAAAGACTCAGAACATGAAAACCTCCACCTTACAGTATGTATGAGCAGTATATCATAAATAAAGTGTATTTAAATGGGTAAAATCTGTGGGGTGGGCTTATTGATGAGCATGGGCTTATTACAGTAAAACACAATGGAAGTGGCCGGTCTTTACAAATAGTGTATCTGATAGGCCATCAATAATTCTTCCACACTACAAATTTACCTTAATGTATTTTTTATTTCTACAAGTCATCTAAGTTACAAAGGACTTGATATAAAACACGGAGTGATCGAGCAGATATTGTTTGTATATTAATTTCTACTACATTATTCATGAATAAGACAAATATTCATCTCGTAACTTGGAATACTGACTTCTGACAGCTGTTTGATTTGAGACAACATTACTCTGACCGTTTTTTTGTGTATGGCCCTGAACTTTGGGCATTGGTTCTGAAAAGGTGCATGTCACACAAGTCATCCTGTTCAATCAAATCACTTTCAATTACGTATACAGTGTATTTGGAAGATATATTTCAGAAAAGGAAACAAATCGGATGGCTAGAACGAGTCACAAAGACACCTGTCCGATGGATGTATATTTCTGTTAATCCTGTTTACAATGCATATATATCACTAAAGAACACAACTCACTATGGTCTCTCACTGGCACAGCTAGCCGACTACGCCCTTCATTGCCGGGGGAACCAGTCCGGCGCGTTGGCGACGGAGTGTTGTTTCTGAGACTATATTGTACCCGCCTGGGGATGTCCTCTGCAGAGTGAGCAAAGTTACTTCCCCTGAGTAACGACTTACTGTTACCCGGTGTGCCGGTTGAAGGCTTCGGCACGGGGAGGTTAGAGTGACCTCCCCTTGGTGTTGATTTCTTCATGTTGGACATTGGCCTCCTTCAGCCTACAATGACAAATGTGTATAAACATTTTACTATTGGATATAAGGTAAAATTTATTTCAATTCATATTTTTGCCTTTATTTCATTTCATATTTTTGCCTTGATATTTGAATATGCAAACTATTACATTTTGCATTTTAAACATACAAATATTTTCAGTTTCCATCACCATTACATAGAAAACAAGGCTTTCCTGAGTCCCCCATCTCCAGACAAACGTCCTCATCAAAAACGTATAAAAGACTATTATCTTTGGTGTATATTGTGAGACACATGACCAGATTTCATTGCATAGAACTTTGCAAAACAAAGGGCTACAACTCTGTATCGTGACACATGAGACCTGATTTCAGTACACAATTAACATGCCATCATTCCAAGAGATACTCATATGCAAAACTGGTAATTTAAGGTGAAAAATAAAGCATTTCCTTACTTGCATGCTTCAAAATAAAATCACCAATCAGTACTAAAGTTTCCTTTTTCATGCTTGCAATGCATGTATCCCTATTTTGAAGGCAGATGCTTATTTTTTCCTCCTTCCTTCTTGACTTTTGAATTCAGCAGATTTCTCCACATGACAATTAAATAGAAGTCATGTACAAGTTTATAAGATTAATTAGCCAAATACAATAGCAGGTGGGTTTGCATACTACCAGTTTTCACTCCCACAAACTGGATCGATTTTGTTTTACCTGACAACTATACAGTAAAAGATGAACATGCGGTAAATATAATATGATCACCCCCATGGATGAATAATTTACCAGTCATACATGATACAAACACCACACAAACAGCTTGCATCAACTCTGATTTTCCAATAAAAACTAAGGCCGAGCCACAATATAGCTGGGGGCTTCCTTCTACATAAACATTTAATTTTCTTCCTATAAAATTGTAAAATAACCAGTCAAATAAGAGAGTAAAAACTAGTTTTAAGTAAATCACTCTGTTTTACTAATGTAATACATGTATCAAGGAAGTATATGAATTCCAAGACAATAGTGATATACACAACACTCACAAAGAGTGATTATCTCTACAAAACACTGAACTGTTCATAGTAATGAGCATTTTGCTTTTTGCATTGTTTTACAGCCCAGCGACAATGTCAGTTATTTACAACCAGGTACAAAAACATTCTACAAATACATGTGAATAGACAAATCAGATTACAGCTCAAACATATGTGTACATCAGCAGAAACTCAAAAGGCTGTAACAGTGAAATACTTCATAAATATTATTGTTATGAATGATTTAGAGTTTGAGAGAGGAAATGAAAAAGAAAGAGAGAACAAAGGGAAAGAGGCCTCCTTCATGAGGTTATATTATATTATGTAAGGGGGGTGAACGTGGGGCACCCCAACCCTGGCATCCCTCCCAAAAGATGCTGAAGGAATAAAATCCCATTTGAACCTAAAATAAAAAGAAATACTTCATAAATGTTAAGCCACAAGAAGCAATCCTTGATGTTTCCTGTTATGAAGTATAGCATTGAATTAGGATAGGAGACTGCCCAGACTTATCTATCTACAATACTTTATAATTCACCTGTATTTCTATTGATTATGGGCGTCTTGGGTAATCACAGGCAACACTGACAATCTAAGGAATGTAAACAGACTTCTATATCGTTATATACTGGTCCCCGTTTCCCTTCCAAGAAGTCAATGCTAATTTAAATTACTATTTGCAATCGTATTCAAAAATTGTATGGCCCTAATTAAATGATTATATAACTTTTTTTTATATAAATCATATTACAAACACCTGCCAATAAAATGCCGCCCGGATCTCAAGTGGAGGTAGCTAGGTCAGAGCTCAACCAGTACCTGTGACTACCTTTGTGAATATGGGTATGTTATCAAATCTTCCCGCCTTAAAGTACTCTAATGTTAAAGGTTAATTAACATATTTAAATTTCTATAAAGCCTTTGCAGTAGATCAGACTAAACTTGGCGAGTCGTCTTACAAAAAACATTACTGGGTACATACTTCGACCAGATTAAACAAGTGTTCCTCATCCTCGTACAGAATTTAGAATGGTTTCTTTTAGAGATAAATTCCTTTTGTGACTTCCATTTTTACTGAAGCCAAATAATCTAGATTACACTGTACACTAAAATTGGAAAATGTTGATTGTAAAATGCACATAGCATGCCTCTACATGTACATGAACCTACCTAATGGAAACTGTACTCAATCAATGACTGAAATGCCTCCTTTTAACATTTTTCATGATATACAATATATCTGTGCAGTAGTGCATGCTGGAGATTACATCTGAATGTAGCTTGTTGCTTGTATACCATCATAAATGTTAATGAGATGCATTTCCGTATACAATTATTTTCAAAACCCCCTTTAAATTCTATAGTATCTTTCTGGGTGGGGCATTTTGGTCATCATTAACATTTCAACAAACTGTTTTTCCAAATAGTAAAACACCTACTTTTGTGGAAACAAAGTTGCGTTTTCTAGGATTACCAGTTCCGTCAGGCAACAAAGTCAGTCGGAAACCGTCTAGCAATTTGTCATAATTTGAAATTGATACCATGATTGGTCCCCAATTATTCTGACGGAGAGCTATAGACCCAAGTAGTTTCAAGTGGAAATATTTACATGCAATATAGCTCTTGCTGTTATTGGCTTATAACAACATTTTTGGTTGGTAGATTTATCTAAGGGCAGTACAATGAAAATGTAAACATAGTAATAGTTCTAATACAAATGTAAGTAACCAACATGTTGTTGGGTTATATATGATGCCAGTTTTATATTGGTCATTGTGATGCTTGGAAGTCTGCTTCAAATAACATTATGAATAGCTTTGAATCAATATTAACAAAACAGCACTCCAACAATCTTAGTCACCCGAGAGATTGATTCAAAGCAGATCACTCGAGATCTGTTACTTGAAGCCGACTTTCAAGTGTCACGATTACCAATATAAATATTGTTCCATTGACAATACACTCACACAAACACAGTAAGTATAGAGAGTGTGTTTAATAACTACACATTTATAAAGCAAATATACAGATTTACTGGTATTTGTTTTAATTGCAGCTAAATCCCATGGTATACCACAGTATTTTCAGTAGAATTATTCTTTGCTTGCTATATATATTTAAAGATAATGCAAAAAAAACAACAACATTAAAATAACTTTTTAACACAGTATTTATAAAAATTATTAAATTAATTTCACTTTACAAAAATAACTACACTTAGAACATTCCACATTATTTGAGATGTCTTTCATTACACGGTAATTCTTAGATTTAGAAACTGAGCAGAAACCTGAACATATATCGGTAGACATGTCCGTTTCAGGATATTATACACAACAATGCTGAGATAATCGTGTGCCTATATAAGGTATATATATATACCTATAATCAGTTATTACCGCCAAGACTGACCCGGCTACACCCCGGTGCTCCTCCGTGTATATCAATCACACAAGTCATTTTCTCTTTGTGTTCCAAGGAATTTCGGATTTGGCAGATGGCCATTTCGGAACTTAAATCTATCAATACATATATATCAAACTGTAGTAGTAGTGTCGAGCAAATACTCCATATCTAACAGGATACAAGGTGTGCTCCGTCCTAACAAATAGGCATTCCTATTTACTCTAACAAATTACAGGACTGTTTCTCTGATGTGCTTTGCTTATATTTGGTCTCGTTGAAGATTGAAGGCCACAGAGAGCTGCACATGTTAAACCTGACAAAGTTTTGCCTATGATATATACTTTTACATATTATAGCAGCTATGATTCGAACAGGTTCAACAGTATTTATTTACTTTTGTTAGATCTGACTGGTGGTTTACCATATCAAGTATTGAAGTTAAAACATATATTTCATTTTAAATGAACGAGTTTAGGTTGGAGCAAAAAATGTCATAATGTATGGTTCACAGATCTTTCCTCTTAACTGATAACAGGTAAAACTTAATAAAATTATTTTATAAGTTAATCATTGTGAATCTTGATAACTGAAATACTTAAATCATACTATAATTTTTTTAAATATTGCTGTATAAATTGCCAATTATCAAATCCAACAATAAAATATTTACCCCATCAAAGTTATTTGGTAAACATGAATCGTATTAAGGGTTCGTCCGAGGCGCCATTTATATAATCCCGGTATAAGAATGCATATAATACTAGGGTTATAACTATACTATAATGCCTCCTGATCCCCAATCTATCACCCCTGTACAAATATTCCGGTAGTGAATACTGGTGTCAAAACGTTTACAATAGTGTACTGCATACATGATGAAGGTGTAAGCGATCTATCATCCTGAGACGGCCAGTGTGCCAATGTGTGCTTCACGAGTCTTAAAAAGAGGCGACCATGAGCGTGGAACATCCAGACTTACACACTATCCTCCTCCATTTAACTTCATCCCTGAAATTTCATAATGAACTATTCCATCCTTTGAATTGGAAGAGTTCAAATGTGTCTTCAGGGGTGAATGAGTTTATTACAGACCGTTTAACATTGTATCCCAGCCAAGGAATTTGGTTTGGGTAGCCTTAATTGATTTAAGAAATTCTGAATTCAACAGTCTGTTAAAATGTTTTAGATGTAATTATGCAAATAAATTATTACTTCCACTTCAATGGTTTTCCAAGCATTTCAACCTGTAGTGGTTTTTAAACAAGAAATCAAAATTATCTTGTTTTGAACTGGATGTCCCCTGTCACCATATTGGTTTAATAAAAAAAAATATGTTCTGTTCGTGTTTTAAGTTTTATTACCAATACCTGTCCGTTACTATATAAAATAAATACACAAATGAGCAGTCTAAAAGGGCAGTTATATGACACTTAAATAGAAAGGTCACATTTCTGATCATTTTTTCTTGTACTAAAATTTGTCAGACTTATCTAAAAGGACACCTGGTTTCAGAGTAAGCTATCCAGAAGTGACAATCCTTCAGTTCTATGCCAAGAACTTATTAATTACAGCATTTAT